TTCACGATATATCGTGTATTTTATAATTTAATTATTTTTACGGTAAAATAAACATTTTCTAGCCTCCGTACGGACATCTTAAAGCACATCATCAGCACTAAGTAGTATCATATAAATCCTACTTAGCAGTTTATAGCAAATTGCGCAGGGGTCTCAGAATGTAACCCTTAAGATATTTGAGGTATTACTGTATAGGCCTATATTTAATGATATTGTATTTTAAACAGAATTTCCTTTTGCTTTTCAACAATATTTCAGACACTGGCACACACTGTAGTAGTAGAAAATTTTAAAAAAAAAATAAAAAAATGAAAGCTAGGCAATGAAAACAACCAGCGAAGTCATCTCCCTTGCCAGCATTTATTTTGAATTATTCATAAAGCTCAGCCTTTTTATGGACAGGAAGTGAAGAAGAATATAATTTTGCTGTTGTGTTGGTACCATCAATATCAATGTTTTTTTGTTGTTTTTTTTTATACAAGAGAGTTAAGTGGTATCGTGGTATCTTGTTACATGGCGGGGAGCGACGTTTGCTGGTACCGGTATTGTTATACCGTAATAAACTAGACTTTAGAATTTGTTGAAGTTTGGTCTAGAGTTGTGGGTAATGAGGTCAACATCATATAATTGGTTCATCTAGGAATGCGGATGATAACGTCAACAGCCTAGCGATATAATTATAATTAGGTCAACATATATTTGGTCTAGCTAGGGTATGGGTAATGTGGTCAGCATCATATAGTTGGTCTAGCTAGGAATGCGGATGATGACGTCAACAGCCTACAGCAGGTCCAGCTAGTGATGTAGGTAATGAGGTCAACATCATATATTTGGCCCAGCTAGGGATATCGGTAATGAGGTCAACAACATATAGAGTTGCAAACACTATTTAAAAGAAACAAACGTGCACTCAAATCAAAACTAAAAAATATTGATCCTTTCTTTAATTTTGTGCAATGCAACTACTTTTCCTATTCACTGGTCATGGAAAAGCCCAGCCAGAGTGAATTTACCCTAACAATAATTATACACTTTTAAATGGGGCTGCTAATAAAAAAGACTTGAATCCAATGTAAGTAATGCACTCCAACTTCTGGCTTGACGTAAGCAACCTGAAACATTCCTTGGAGTCAGTCTCAGAACCCTGATATTCAAAGAAACTTAATACCAATCATCATGATCAAAAATACTTTTAAAAAATAACAACAAAATATATGGCAGGCAGTTATAGTGGCTGGCAGTTAGCACAAGGCAACAACAGATGTATAGGGTACAATAATTATAAGTTCAAGAAAAACCTGTGATAGAAGGTGATCTTAATAATTAATAATAGTGGTGTAGCAATAAGGACTGCCAAATGGCTTCCCAGTTTTTGAAATGTCTCATTCTCAGTGTGTAATCAGTGAAGTGACATAGGATGCGGGGGAAAATGTTGAGACAAATGTCATGCTGTATATTACTAAGAGTTATCAAAATTCTTTTGTTCCCCTGTCTGTACGAATTTATCAGCGTGTTCCCTGAGCTGTTACCCATTCTAATTGATCACTAATTAAGTCATTATTGTCACTAAAGGAGTTCATTGACGGCTGATTTCTATGGTAGAGAAGTACTTTAGACGTCTTGTATTTAAATTGTTAAAATTTTGTCTTAGTTAAAATATGTAATTATTTACGTGCCGAAAATAGACGTGTACAATGTAATAAAAAATTCCATTATTTGTTTCCATAAAGAATTTTATCTTTACTTATCTTCTCTTAAATCTGGGCAATGAATGCTATTGACCTGTCAATTAAAAGGTTCAAAATGTCCATTTAATTTAACTATCATAACTCTCAATACTAAAGCGTACAACATAAACATCTAGACATGATTTCTAAATAAAAATTAATATTGAGCAGGAAGAGAAAATATTTTTTTTTACCAATTAAAAACGAAATTGTTTGAAATTAGAATGTGTAAGTTACATAAGAATGATATGATTTTTAAAGTGACTAGACAGAGTGACAAGAGCACTCATAGACTATTTCATACAATGTAATAGAAATATAAAAGGCATATTTTAATATAATACATTATTTTAAAATGATATAATAAAATATGTACTAATTAAAAAATTTTTTTTTAGAAATTATATTTAGTTATGGTATAAAAAAACACCATACTGAAAGAAGTAGCGCTTAAGAAATGAACATTTGAACAAAAAGTAAAATTAACTGATAAATAATTTTAAAAGCTTCAAATGGGTTGAATTTTTAAAAATACAAAAATTATTTATCCTCATAAAATAATTCTTTAACATGAAAGTCATTAACAAATCAACAAGCCAAAATAAATGACAAAAACACACTTAAATTCTTATACAAGTAGTTTGTGAAAAAAATAAGTTGATTCTGTAAACATACCAAATTTGTTTCGATTTGAACAAATAAAAGAAATATTGTTAATATTTAAATTTAAAGTACTAAAAAAAATATTTAGATTAGAATGGCAAGTCACCCAAAGGCTTGCACATAAGCAGATGTCAAATTATTATATTTTTTCAACAATTAATTTTTACATATGATCATTCAGTAAATATAAAAATCAGGAAATTCAAAACAGAGAGTCAAATGAAAGCACTGATGGAAAAGAACTTTAATTTTAAACATAAACATTTTTCAATGGAAAAATATTTTGATTTTAAATATAAACATTTTTCAAAGAAATAAATATAAGGTGAAAATATGTACCCGTAACATATTTATATATTGAAACAAAATGAGTAAAAAATAAAATGAAAGCAATATGAATGTTAGAAAACAAAGCAGTAACAATAACCAAAAATTTAAAGGAAAAAAACAAAAAAAACCAAATAGAACTGAAAACTTTTCTCTTCTGACTGTTTATTGAGGCATTTAACCAACCCCAAAAAATCTGAATCTGGCATCTTTAGTAAAAACAGATCATTAATGTAATTCACAGCTAAAGAATACTTCTGCTATTTAAGGCTACGTTGTTAAAGAAATAATAATTTCAGTACAGTACAGAGCAATTGAAATCATGTAAAATACATTATTTGACAGGATCTCAGACTTGTAACCTTAAGCCCTACATGCACAACCCCTCACCCCAACATTTTCGCATGCCCAGCAAATTGATTTCTTTTAAGATTGGTATTAAAAGACAACACTTTACTTTATAATGACATTAGTAAGTGTGTTGCAGCCCTTGGGAAATCACATTATCTTTATGTGGCCTTATGGTGTTAAGTTTGAGATCCCTGGCTTAAGTTATTAACCAGGAATGTATGTTACTGTATTACTGTTAAAGTTCTGAGAATAATTATAATATATATATATATATATACATATAGATAGATAGATAGATGTAAGTACAGTAAAAGATACTTAAATATGGGTATCTTGATAATGCAGACTTTACTAAAGTGTTCTTATTGAAACATAAGAATATTAATATAGTAAAACTACAAATTTTGCCCTAAGCTTGATGTGCAAAACCAAAAAACCCATAGAAACTTCATCTGACCTGTTCATAACAACAAAATTGCTGTTTTTACGCTGGATCAACTTAATTTATAATTCTTCAAAAAGTTTTAATATGGGGCAAAAACTGAAAGTTAAAATAATTATATATTATGTTGAAAACTCACTGGCATAACTAGGGTGGTGGACAAATGGGATGACTGCCACTGGTGCCACCTGGGGGTGGGGGTGGTAATACAAATTTTTGTTAAATATCAAAAATATTTTTTTAGATATTAATTTGTAGTAAAGAACTAATTAGATTTCATTATGTTATCTTTTGGAACATGTGTGATTTTGGTTCCAAATGTTCCTTTCATTAACCTAGCAAACATTATAATTTATAATAAATATGATGTTTTCAAAATGTCACAATAAAGTAACCAAAATCATTATATAAAATCTATTTTTAAATTTAGAAATGAACAGTGCTTTAGTTAAATTTGAGAACAATGTTCAAAATCTTTAATAGTCAAATTTAATAAGTTGCTCTCAGGTCTTATAGCCATGATTCCATTAAAACTTTTCCCACCACAATATCATCTAACACAGAGATTCAACTGAATATCTTATAATTAATATAATGGATCTAGAATGGAAAAAACTAATGACAAAAACACATAGAAGTTAAAAGCTTTACTCAAAGATTAAGAAAGAAATTACCTTTCAATTTCAATTATTTAATTTTCCTTTATACATAAGTTTCCACAAAACTGAGCATATTAGTTTTGCTACTGGAAAATTTAAATCGCTACATAGTAGCACAAATGTGGAATGCATATTCTTAAACAAGACTTCATTTTGAGGATAACAATATATTTTCCCTCCAACCAATAGTAAAAATAACAATTTTACAGGGTACTGTAGTGAAATTTCAAATAAGTTAGTTACCATCCTCCATTCCAAGCTTTCTTAACAACACTTTCCGTTGAGCTTTTACAAGCCCTACACACTCTGCCAAGAGCTCTTATACTTATATGAACAATAAGTACACATTAGGACCTTAGAATCCTAGCCCCACGCCTTATGACAGCAATGAAACTACCCCTACGATGCATTTTGTTTGTTGTGTAACAATCATGTATGTAATCCAACTTCACAATTTAAAATTTTAAAAATGAATTTTAAAGGTAAAATAATCTGATCACACATTAATTTTTACAGAATACACTCCTTAATCTCAATTTTAATCACATTAAACGCTTCATAAAGAACCCCAAAAGCACCAAGAGCTTTTTTTTACAATGACATATTTGACCCCTGAATATTGGTGGTAAAAGCAATTGGCATATTTTTGGAAGGATATTTTTCTTTTCTATTTAACACAAAAAAAAAACACACTATGTTTTTAGACTTCTTTTGCTCTTAAATATTACCTAAAGTTATAAGTAAATCTACACACACATATATATATATATATATATATATCTATATTCAAAAGCAATTCATATACAGTATTTTAATAAAAACGTTTAAAAACTATACAGCATATGGTTCACCCTCACATTGGCTACTTGTCACCATTGTTCCATAGACCACTCTTTCATTAGAATTTATTTGTGATACCATATTTGTTCCAAATGCTATTTTTTCATTACAACTTTGTGAGACAGGGTTGCTGGTTACATTTTGTTCTGGTCTGACTGCTTTGTTTTTACCTAAGCCTTCAAAGCTGAAGACATCTATGTAATAAGTAGCTCCATTATAAATGGCTACAATTATGGAAAAAACTACAACTACGCAGTGAGGGATGAAGAAGTTGTACCAAACTGGGGTGAAGAGCAGCATGATGAGAACAAGTGTAAGACCCCAGGCCACATATAATTGTACACGAAATCTGAAAGATGCAACCCAAAAATGATATTAGATAAAGATCCCCGAGACCAACAGTTAACAAAAATATATAAAACAGTTGAACTGGCAAATAAATTTATTAAACACATTAAAATTATGTAGCAATTTACATGAGGATTTTGTAATAATCAAAATGAAGAGTAAAAAAACTAACCAGGTTATACTTCTTTAAACATACCTAGGACCAAACAGGTTACACATTCGAAATATAAGAGATGATTCCTTGCTGGTTAGATATCTATACATGGTCAAATACTCTTCATTTGGTTTGAGAACACAGTTAACCAGAAATATGTACAGCACCTAATAAATGAGATTTCGAAACTATTTAAACCTTTGATTTTTTATGACAACTTGAAAAACTTTAAAAAATTAACTTTACTTATTTCAAAGCTTAAAATCTAGGGTATATTTTTAAAAATTCCTAAAATACAAGGTAGATTTAATGACTGAATGCCCCCTGCTCTCTTTAAATGTCCAAGTAACTCTAAGGCATATTACTCACCTGGTGACACACTACAAAAACAAATGGAATAAAAACTAGCCAGAAGAATGAAAATCCAACTTCATATTGTGCAAAAGGTTTATACCAATGTTCTGATGTTTCATCAGGATACCATCTGATTCTGGTGATGGAATAGAATAATTTTACTGGAGTTTCAAAATGAAAAGAACATTTTTTAATGTGCCAAGCAAGCAGATGAATAAAAAATTTTTAATATTCACAACAAACCTTATTTTGATCTTTAAAATTTTCTGTATTATCATTATCATCTTTACCAAACTGGAATACACACCAGCTCCGTAAATTCATTTAAGAAAGAAATAACTCTTATAATTTTATAGATCAATGTAAAAAAATTAAATCTCTCTGAAATCTTTGTCATTTTAGTTTTAATATAAAAATTTAAAAGAATTGTGTTTCATATCTTATGATGCTAAAAGATTCTCTTTTTTTTTGTGTGTGTGAACCTGATAGTTTGCAATTAACTATCTTAAGTGGACTATTGGTGTATATTTTCTTAAACACTTTTCCACAAGTCAAAAATTGAATGCATTCCTGCCTGTAATATAAAACCTCATATATGCTGACAGCTAGTCCCATAAACATACATGATACATGTTTTGAAATTTTTTACAAAGAAAGAAAGAAAATATAAAAATGTATCATTAATTTTTTTTAAATTAGTGATAAGAAATTAGTGAAGCTAAATGATCATGATTTGAAGAAGAATATATATAAATTGAAAAATAACCTTTCACATATGAAATCTGAAGTGATTATCAGTACAATAATTTTTAAGACATCATTAGCCTCAATATTAGGATCATCAATATTAATTACTGTATCAATTTCAATTGATTGAAGTTTCATCTGTTTGTTTATATTTATATAACCCAATATTGTTAAGAGACTTCTCAAGAGCCTGGAAAGCTATCCTGAACTTCTTCTAGCTCTTGGAACTTTGTAAAAATGGAAGATCAAAACATTCAGATTTCTTCATAAATGAAAGTGACGTTCTTGCAAGATTAGCAGCAATCTTTAGCAGTTGCGTTATATGGGAATTAAGTTGCAATAATTGTGCATAAGGCGGTACACAGTTTCTCAGGGACGTTGGGAGGGCTCTGAAAAAAAAATTATGAAGAACTGGGTTGAGGAAAGAAATTTAAATAAACACACACAAAAAAATACTGTATTTATTGGCAAATAACACGCACCTCAATTTAAGAAGGAATTTGAGGAAAAAAAAACTAAACATTATATTGGCGTACAACACGCACACATTATTTGCCCCCTATTTTCAGGGAGAAAAAGTGCGTGTTATACGCCAATAAATACGGTACTTTCACAAACAGGCAAGCTTACACAAACGACAAGAGACATGGTAATAGATGGATATACAAAGAGGTCACTTTGTCTAAGCTATGAAAAACTAGAGAGTTCCGAAACACAAGTAGAGCCCAAATTAGAGGTCCATTAGCCACAGCATAGCCAACAACTAATGCCTCCTTATTATCTGGTGCAAGCCTGCATAGAGACAAAAAAAATTTATGATTAGGACCAAAACCATAAAGTACAATTAACTAAATATTCCTAGAAATATTAATACCTGTGCTCTTTTGTTGATATTTTTAGTGATCAAACAGTAGGCTGATAGGACTTATAAGGCTACATTGATCATTTGGCTCAACCCTCATCCTCCTTAACTTTACACAATGACAGTGATTAATGCTATCTCAATCATTGTATACCTAATTTTTCTTTGGTCATCAGTTATTGCATTTCTTCAAAAGAATTATAGCTTTTCAAGCTATTTCCTATGTGGCATGACCCAAAACTTACAATCAAAGGAGTGAAGAAAATTTTAGTAAGCCAAATCAGTTAATTTAAAAAAAAAAAAAAGAACTACAAAAACAGCTTTTAAAAATAAAAAAATAAATGACTCTGGTAATAGAATCCCTTTTACAGTATTTGAAATCAGGCAGTTTAATTTTGTTGATAAAAATATAACCAATGAGGTTGCAGAATTCAAAATGTTCCAGACATTATTTAGTCTGAGAATTTTATAAAACTTAAACAAAGATCTTTGACATCAAAGTCTCTAATCATACACACAGCCCTTGTTTAATGATTTTGATTGGACGGGGGGGGGGGGGGGGGGGGGGGGGGGGGGGGGGATGATATTATATTTAATATGTGGGTCCTGAGGTCCATATTTAATTTCTTTACATTAATCTTATACAACAATTTTTAAGCCAAACTTTTGTAAGCCATCTGTTGCAACTTAATTTTGCTGTATTTATAATACAACGCATAGTTATGCATTTTGTTCATAAATTATAGAAATGTATAAAGGAGGCTTGCTTTTTTAACAGTGCTACTATAATTTCATCTCTCATACAATTTGCAAAGTCATTTATAAAATTAATTTATACATTGTTTCTAAATACACCATTATTAAAATATCATCTTTAATATATATATATATATATCTGAAAGACTTACCAGATGTAAAGGAACCAGTAGGTATTGGCAAAATAGCAGAAATCCAACAGAAAATACTGATATTTCATCTTCCTGCAAAAGAATCTGTCAATCAGTCAGCAGGCACAGTATATATTTTGCTTAGGATAAAATGTTTATAATGAATTATAGGTCTTTGAATTAAAAAGACAGAAAACTAATCTCAACTTTAAGAACTTTTAGAGCTTTAGTAACTTCTCTACTCACCAGTACATTATAAGCCTTAGTATTAACAAAAAAGGTGTTGTTATAGAATAATAGTAGGGTAAAATCCACTTGACAGTGAGCACGAAGTGAGATATTGCTACAATTGCAACCACTGTCAACACATATACCAGTTTGCTTTGCAGGCGGTGATTTTTCAGCACCTGTTTTATTTTGAAAACAATTTTTTTTTCCTTCAAAATATCCTAATTATAATTAATAACTTAACAGGTAACTAACTCTTTTACTAACAATAAAACTGTTCATAACAATTTTTGTATAACTTTACTCATTATGAACTAGGGGTTGCAAAACCGGTCCCTTTTATCAAAACCGGTATTTTTGATATTGAAGTTTACGAATACCAGAACCCCAGTATTTTCTATATTGTCAATGTTTAGGGAATTTAGTGTCGAGATTAGAGGTGATGATTTATTAATGAAATAAAAACAATAAAAAAGAAATAGCATTTCGATTTTTAACAATAACACAAATGTCTAACTTCAGACATTATCAAAAATTAATTTTTGTAGTTTTAATCTTATTCAAATAATGAGATCGTAAAAATGAAAATGTGTCTAATGTTTGATCACTTAATTTTGAGCGCAAATGGTAACAAAAGTAACCAGATGATGTGAACTTCCGCTCAGACTCCACAATACCACACTGATGTCTTTTTTTCTGATAGTTTCATATGCTTTTCATATTTTGGTTTATTTTATTCAGTGTCCCCCATTTCTTTCTATCAACATGAAAGGAAAATAGATCACTAACAAAAATGTATTTATTAAATCTATTTGATTTGACGTGTACAACTTTTTGAAAAAAATGTTTAAATTTTCATGTAAATGTTTGGCTAAGTATGGTACAGACAAACGGGGACATTCATTCATGAAAATGTTTGGCTAGGTAAGGTACAGACAAGCTGGGACATTCAGTCATGTAAATGTTTGGCTAGGTATGGTACAGACAAACGGGGACATTAAGTCATGTAAATGTTTGGCTAGGTACGGTACAGACAAACTGGGACATTCAGCCTGGGATAAAATAGCTCGAAAATCAATTATGAGGTGAATGTGAATTATTAATATTGTTTTCACAAAATAGTAGTAAAATAATTTTTCTATGTCTTAAACTTAAGGTATTTATTATCAAAATACGGATTTACTCATAATTTTAAATATGTAGATACTTTGGCATAAGTAAATGAAATCAAGAAATCAAACATTTTTGTTATTAAAACCCAGTGATTCGAATGCAGCGTGTTAATATTTCCATATATTTCATGTTACAAACAAATTTTTAATGTAAGTCAACATTCTATCTTCATTGGAGTATGCCAATACTATTTGTTAATAATATAAAAACATTTACTTTCCAATCATGTACCATCACGTCTCCACTTACACACTACACACGCACGTTGTAAAAACAAAACTAATCACAACGCTGTGATAGTTGACAAATGAAGAGTACACGGATTTAGCCTGGCGGTCAGCTCTCTTTGAACTTGATACACGTGGTTTGAGGGCATCGCACTTTGCACACCACATAAATTATTGATTTGTCTTGCTTTAACTACGACATGGAAACTAAGAACCGTGATACATATTTTTTGAAAATGAAATCCCTGGATTATCGAAAATCTCGGTTTTCATAAATCCAATCCCGTTTTTTCGATCATCGTCCGGTATTTTCGAGAGTCGGGATCCCGGATTGCAACCCCTATTATGAACCCAGACTCCAACCTGCATGACAGTTAATTGAAAATCTATATTCGCATATTAATAAATTTAAAACTTAATCCTTTTTTGTAATACAAGTTAAAGGACAACTCACCTTAAAAAATGCTTTGACATCAGGTTCCTCTCTACTAGTTGGTTCAACTGTGATCTGTGTGACAGTATCATATAGGTCATGGATATGCTTTAAAGAAGACCTTTGCCAGGGTACTCCTTTGGTTGGTGAACAATCTCTTTAAGGAAATAGAGTGAAAACAGATAATAATATTATTTAAATAGACTTGCTGTTAAGTTTAGTGCAGCAAGTGAAATGTAGAAAGATTTTTAAAAAAGTAAGATATTATTCGTTCATAGTTAGCCTAAGATAATGAATTTTTAAAAGAAATACATTTTTATTTGTAAAATATAATAAATAGACCCAGCAGCAAATTGAGAAGGAAATAGAAACTGAGAAAAAAAAAAGTCAAAAGAAAATAATTTCATAAGTAATGTCTAAGACACATTTCTCATTCAATGCAAGATTGTCATTGTGGTTTACAAGTTAACTTTATGGAAATGGTGTTAGTGAGCTGTTAAGCCAAAGCTCTTAATATCGGCCCACAAAGCGGCACCTACGAGATCTCCTCCTGTTAGGACAGCCCCTCGTAAAACTCATACAAAAGTAAGATTATTTATTAGTTCTAAATATCTTATAAAAATTAACGAAAAGTTATCACAGCCTTAAAAAAATGTATTAAGTTTTCTTACTTCACATCACTGACTGACTTCTGAGGAGCTGAGCTGTTATCAAAAACATCTCTCACTCCAGCATCAACACCATTTTGTTGCTGCATCAGAGGAAAGCCATCCCCTTGACCAGTGAACTCTGAAGTCAAAAGCAAAAATAATTTTTTTTTAAAAAAGTCAAATTATCCTCAATATTTTATTTCAAAGGTTGAATTATCACAATTTGAACAATTACCCTACCACAGACATTGACAATAAATACCTCAAATAAAATTTAATTATAAAATTTCTTGAAACTAAAGGTAACTAAAAATATAATTGCATTGATTCGAATCATAAAACTCAAAATGAAAAATAAAACAAAAACAATTTGTTCTATAACAGCTGCTCTCAAAAAGGTTCGAAAAAGCTCCTTTGGGAAATGAGTTGCCCAAGGCAGACACAGCAGGAAAAGCTATCTAGATAGCGATATGGGACATCCATAATATAGCAATAATAAGGGGAAACAAAAATATTTTTAAAAAGTTTATGTGGTGTTGACAGGGTTGAGTAAGATTTTCAGTAACGAAGTGATGATAGTCACCTATGAAAAGTATGGGATTCATCCTGCTAGCATTAGTTTATTTCTCATAAATTTCAAACATACACAGATGACAAATAGAGAAATATTTATTTGACCCGTACCTACCAAGACTTGGTGTATCAAAATATTTTCAAATGCATTTGTGGCAACATCATTTACAATAAAAAAAAATTCCTTGTCTAAATTATTATAAAATTATTTTTTTACAATTTAAAAATTTTTGCTGGATAGAGATAACTTGCTTCAAAGTCCAGATAGAATTGTTAAATTATTTACTGAATAAAAAAGATTTGGGATTTCTATGCTTTAAAACTATTTTAAAAAATCTGCTGAACCATAAACAAATTTCAATAATGTGTAATAAAAATATGTATGTATAATGTATAGTAACTAACTTAAATCGTGAGAAAGTAATTTTATTAGGGTATCAACTAAAGGTCATCATTCAGACCCAGTGGCGATTTGGGCATGAATTAAAGGTGAAGTAATAAAGTTATTTGTAGTTAATGCAATACAAATGTCCTTATGAAGCAAGTTCTGTTAAGTTGAATTTAAAACCCAACATACTGATTTTTGTAGACTCTGAAGGTGATTGATTCTGATCCTTATTAACTGGAAATTCTGGTGTTACTGTGGCCTGCAGAAGTATTATAAAAAATATAAATACATTTTTTTGTTGCTTCCAATATCAAATACAATTGAGCTGTAAAGCTTACTTTGAATAATGGAGAAAAAAGGAATTTATTTATGAATGCCAGAGAATTCTAGCTTGTGCCAGTTAAATATTATCAAAGGCATACTGATTTCCAGACATCAACAAAACTATGTTTTTAATTTAGTCCTCTTTGGCAATGTACAATTGTCATTCTTCAGCATAGTTGAACTGGTTCAAATAATGCATAGCAATTGGTTTCAGTGGTGTCATCTAAATTTTCAAAATTTTATCCAAAAAATGAATGTATGAAGTACTAGTGTAAGCAAATCGGCAATAAGGCTGATATTTTTTTAAAATTCAGAATTTTAAAAATAATTATCCTGTAAGTAAAAGACTTAAAAATAAGAAACCTACAGTATAATGTATAAGACAGATACTCTGCGGATCTAACCAAACTGCATATTACTTTTAAAAAATATATAAATAGACTGTGACTTTGAAAGAAATATGTTCCTCATCTTTTCTAGCGAGTATCCTTCTGTAAATATCAATTAACAAGTTTGATTATGTGCACACCACATTAAGTAAATATAGGATAAGTGTTGGTACCAAAATAAGAGTTGCTCTGACCATTCTAAAAATAGTTTTTAACTGCTGCTACTATCTTATAAAATAGTTAAATCTCACATTTCATTATTCAATATTTTTTTCCCATTTTTTTAGGTAGGATATATATATATATATTATGTAAATTTAATTTATACTTATATAATTTTGTTGTTATTGTACTGATTAAGGCATGCGCCGAAACGTCTACTTGTGTATTATGTAAAATTATTGTTAAAGCTTAACATATATTGTTATATTGACACAAATTTTTCGTGTCTAATTAATATATTTTAAAGCTTTATCGCAGACCAACACTTTTTATAATTAGTTAATACTAAATTAATTATCCTGCAAAAATGCTTCAGTCTGAAACACTCAGACACAGTTCAAACCAAAAGAAAATTGCGAAGTGGCATCAGAAAGTTCAGAGACTGTATTTGCTGTGACCGTACCATTCACAATTATTATGATTATGACCCTAAAGGTCACTGCTCCAAAGCCTCCAAAATTATAGCAGTAGCAAAAAGTAATTTTACTCTGTCTACATGCCTTCTAAACTTATGTAAGGCTGGTTGGTAATATTATGATGGCTCTCAAATGGAACAACAAACTAGCATTAATTTATTTTTTCTTTTACAACCCAGACCCTACAAATACTTCATCAGGATTTTCGCAAACATTCCTAAGATGATGCATATTATTTTTAATGACCTGATGTTTCAAGGCTCGTCAAAATGTGGCTGAAGATGGCAAATAAAAAAGCCTGCAATCACCAAGACCAACTAAAGCTGGCCCCAAGTCCAATGAAATTCTTTTTTATTGTGTTTTTCAAATGAAATAACCTTATAATTTTTAAATTCATACAAGAGTGGCTGCACGCTTCAAGTTTTAGTGGATAAAGTTTTTTTTTACGCATGGTTGGCCTCCTCACCAAGAATAAATGCCTTACTGATAACTTTATTCTACCTGGCTATTAGCGATTCAAATTTCCTATTGGTAGGACAACCAAATGGATGCAAATGCAGACCAGACATATTAAATTTATTAAATAAGAAGACATAGAAAGTAATATAGTCCCCATAAAACTTTTTAAAAGCTTCTTAATCACTTACCATGACAAAGGACCTATTTTAAGTTTATTTGAGTTTTTTCATGTCGTTTCTTGTTCAAACCAGATTTTACTAAAATCATCTTTTTATTGCTGCTCAATTACATTTAAAAATTGTCCATTTGATAGATTATCCTGTAGGAGAAAAAAAAATAGGCAAATAATTTAAAATAATTGCTACCATCATATTTTATCCTCTACATAATAATTAGGAAAGGGTTATCCATGAGGACTTTGGTATATGCACATGCTCTTTTTAGTCTTCTAAAGACTAAAAAGTAAATTATAAATTAAGAAATAAAATTCCATGCCATCTTTTCAAAAAATACAAACAATATTTGGGTCAAGCTATAAGATCAATGTCAAAGACCTACATATAATATCCTAAACAGTCTGGAAATCACTGACATTCAGCAGACAATGTGTTATCCAAATACAGTCATAAATAAAAATTTTACAAACACATAAATACAAGCTGAGACTTCTTCAACAGTTTTTACACATAGAACACTAAATTTTAGTGTAAATAAGGTTTTAGATACACACCAATTTCTGATGATAACAAAGAATTACAATGTGTAAGCCTAACTGTAGGACTGTAATGTAGGTAGAAACTTTAAAAAAAAATTAAAATCATTAATTCCATAGATAGGTCAAATTAGACCTGAATTTCTGGCAAACAGGGGTTGAATTAAAACCTTGATAAAATTCCCAACAACCAGCCAAGCCCTGTCAGTGTCAATCGACCATGACCACCTTAATCATTGTATATGCTAATTATGAACTGGGCTGTGGGTGTGCAGATGACTGATGAGACAGATTCTGGCACAAAATGTTCTTGTGGAGTAAGTGCAGGGTATTGATGGGACATCTCTAGGTTTAAAGTTAACCCAGGCTGTTCTGGCATGTCTTTTGTGCTCTGCAACAGCTGTTCTGTTGGCTTCATGTTGTATGGAGGAATACTACAATGCTCGATCCTTTTCAGATTCTTTCCATGCGCCCAGGTACATATAGAAAATTTTAAGTGAGGCTTTTAGGTTGTCTTTAAAGCATTTTTTCTGTCAGCAAACTGCCTTTCATGCTCACACTCACCAAAGAATAGAATATACTTTTGGGCAAGCAGTCATCTGACATTCGCTTAGTCAAGATTGCATTAAAGTGGTAAAGATGCTGGGGACAACTGCTTTTTTGAGTACCTCAGTGTCTGGGATCCTTTCTTGCCATTTGATGTTGAGGATTTTCCTGAGACTTGTCTTATGAAAGTAATTCAACATGCTTGCATAGTTTTGATAGACTATCCACATTTCACGGCAATGAGAAGTGTAGGGAGCCTAGTATACTTTCACTTAAGTTTGAGTGCTGATACCTTGTCTGGCCCATACATTCATAGACATATTGGCATAGGTTACACTGGCTCATGCTTTGCGAAGGTTAATCTGGTCATCAATCGTTTTGCTTTGAAACAGTGCGCTGTTCAGGTAAGAGGTTCAGGTATTTACCACTTTAAGCCATTCACCATACACTTGAAAATTGGGCTCAACATAAGGACTTCAAGGAGTTGGCCGGTACAAGACCTGTCTAATAGGTGTTAATGGTAAGACCGAAATTTGTAAAGGCTTTTGCGAAATAAGTATTTATTTTTTCTTCATCCTTGGCACGCAAAGATAACCAATGCAATATTTGATTTGAGCAGAATAGTCTTGATCTGAGCTTTATTTTGATAAATGAGGGAGAGTTGCTCAATTTGTCAGCCTCACTCTCTAATCCTTGCCTACTTGATCCAAAGGCAAGACTTAGTCTAGACAAATGGAAATAGACCAGGATGCAGTAGATGAACTGCAGTTGGTTGTTGTTTTTTTGTGTTACACTGTGTATGATTGTCCTTCCTATTGATGATAACATAGTTGATGAGATGCCAATGTTTTGACCGATGGTGCATCTAGGATGTGCGATTACATATTAGAAGGCAAAATACCATATTTGTAATCCGCAGTTCATTCTCTGCACATGTCTGGAGCAAAAGAAGACTTTTATTGTTGCAATGACTTACTCCATACCTTCCTAGAACCCCATCCCAAGTGATGTGGTGGCCACCCACTCAAGCCTTGAAGTCACCAGTGATAAGCTTGTCCTGTATTAGAATGCCAACTATGACAGAGTGAAGAACCTCGTAGTACTTGGCCTTTATTTCATCTGGGCTTTTCATAGTTGGACCATAGCAGCTGATGATGGGGAGGTGTTTTTTTTCTAGATAAGAGAGGGAGTTATATTGTCATCCTATCACTGACTCTATTTGAAGGCTGCGACTATTCGCACCCGGGTACCAGAAGTGAGAGGTTGGGATTAAAAAAACTATTTAAAATATTATTTTTGGGTTTGTAAGATGAAATGAGGAATCAAATGAAAGATAATTGAATAGACTATATGTTTGTAAACTTACATCTTCAGTTTAACTAAAATAAACTACCACAAATGACATCCGAATAGCATTGGTCTAATGGGACCCAGGTGCATATGGCAGTGCTACGTGTCTGGGGATTTTTTAACCGAGTGTGAATAGCCACTTTGCTATTTGAAAGACCAGCAAGCATGTTAGTCATTGTAGATTTGATAGTAGAGCCAACACAAGCCTCACAATGCTCCTCTTGCCACTTCAAAAGAAGGTATATCCAGAGCCGCTTTCACATAGTTCGACCTCTCCTGCAAGTCAGACCTCACTAAGGGGTGCTACCTCCACCCAGCACCTGACAGCTCATTTCCTATATAAGGACTGTACTCCTCTGAGGTCTGTTTGCATTGTCTTTACACTGAAGATTGCGCACATTCCCAGGGCCAATTTTCGGAGGTATTGTTTTGATATTATGCTTTGATTTCTTTGAATTTTGATCGCATATATTTCAAAGAAAAGATAGAATCCCCCACCAACTTTGGTAGGCAGAATAGGCAGAGGGAAGAGTGTAGCTGAGAACTTTTAGTTTTAGGGCACCTTTTCTAGCCCCTTTCTCATTCCATGGAGGTTCCTTAAGCCTTAAAATAAAAGAGGTCTGCTCAGTCACTCAGTGGCTGCTGGACAACACCTATAATTTTAATGGAATGAATGATAGTTAATAATTAAAGTGAGACATGATGTGACTTGGATTTAAGTGCAGAAGAAATGCGCGAGTAGTCAGTCTCACTTCTTGGCCATACCTTGCACCTTGGGCGGCCTTGGCTTTGGATCCAGCAGCGAACGATAAAGTAGACTTGACTACACTATATTTATAGTATATAATAGGTAAAAGTGGAGTTCAGGTGTGTATATTATTTCTGTTGGAATTTCTTATTTTCGCATGTAAACTTAAGTTAATTCTTTATAAAAGTATTTTAAAAGTAAAATACCATTTTTTTTATTGGAATACAACAATTAAACAAATTTTTAGATATAAAAAAAGTACTTTTCATGAATCTTTTGTCTTTTACGAAGCCATTGTGGTAAATCAAGGATAACTCTTCTGTCTTTAAAGATATGTTATAAAATTTGCCCGATTGGATGAATCTTTGTTAAAATAAATGTTGTATTTATTTTACAACTTTACTATCAAATATAACCGGAGTTGCCTGGGATAGCATTCAGAAAAAAAACATCTGCTACTTCCTTTAAATTCAGATTGCTATTAAGCCAAATTTCAACAACAAAACAACACCACTATATTAAAAAAAAAAAAAATTAATTTGTCTCCTATAAAAACACTTAAAATAACCTTTCGTTTTTCTCGTTTTCCGATGGCACCCCGTTGTCCCGACGATTCCGGTAGAATTCTGGACTTGGTGGTATCCCGATCCTGGTAGAATCCCGGTCATGGTGGATCCCGAAACCTCATGGTGGGATCCTGATAAGATCCCATTTCTGGTGGTATCCCAATCCAAATGAGATCCCAATCCGGTGGGATACCATTTCCGGTGAGATCTCGAGCCCGGTGAGATCCCGATGGGATACCGATTCCGGTGGGATACCGTTTCCGTTGAGGTCTTGAGCCCGGTGAGATCCCGATCCCGTTGGGATACCGATTCTGGTGGGATAACGTTTTCGTTGAGATTCCGATCCTGATAGGATCTTGATCCCAGTGAGATCCTGATCCCAGTGGGATCCTGATCCAGTGGGTTTCCGATCCTGGTGGGATACCGGTTCCGGTGAGATCCAGATCCCGATAGTTATAGGGAACGCTCATACTTGACATACGTAGCCAGTTTCCAAGCCACATAGCAATTGTTAAGAGCGCCTTACGAGAAATGCCATAGTTGTATTAACGTTATTTGTTGCCTCACAAAGTTCGCATATAAACCAAATGCTGCACCATTTAAAATTTTCTTTGGATAAACAATTTCAATTATCGTCTCTTGGTCATCCTGCCATTTTGAACAAAATGATCCCACTACCAGCAATACCGCAAAATGAGTAAGTCTTATTCTATATAATGACTAGCCCTCACCCTTATTTTATTCAGCGCAAATCAGTCACCATTAATAAGCACATTTGCATACCAAAAAAGGGGAGGGGTGCTCAAATTAGAGCTGACCAATCATGGACAACGTATTTGCAGCCATCAGTATGAGATGACTATCAATAAATTATCCGATTTCCCCCATTCCTGCAACGTCACACATATTTTTTTTAAAAAGCGGACACGTGATCACATGTTCATGGACACACCCCCTTCCCCTTTTCAGCTTCACTCCAGGACAATGATGACGTGTGTCCCCGCTGCCTTAGTCCGGTGATCCACTTCTAAATCCCCCCCCCCCCCCCCCAAAGACTTCAAGGGACAACCCGTATATTCCAAGCGCTCTGAGAGGAAAAAAAAAAGAAAGTGGGGGGTGGTAGTGAAAAATCTAGTATTTCATTCTTTTTTGTGAACATGCCTACAGTTTGAAAATTTCGTTTTGCATACTAACTTATAGGTGGTTAAAAATCTGGCCATAGGGTGAAAAAAAACAACAACAAAAATAGGGCTATGTAACTTTGGTTGGGGGATGTTTAAAGACTCTTTAAAAATCAAAAAAAAAGAAAAAAGGCGATTTAAAATTCAGTAGTTAACCATATAACTGCCTGTATTTCATTAATTAATAAAGAATACACATAAGTTTACATGATATGATAAAATGTGTTAAACTGTTAAGACATAATATACGCACCTGAAGCCTGAACTCCACTTTTACCATATAATTTATTGAAAATTTATATATTGATATATTATATAGAGTATTTTTATTATAGTCTATAGTAGTACTCTATTATAATTATAGAGTGCTATAGTATAGTATAGACTGTAATAAAAATGAAGTAAAGCAGGCCTGGAACTGGCTGCACAACATACGGCCCGCCAGCACCCATTTTGCGGCCGGCGAGATGACGAAATATTCCTTATCCTTATTATTTTAATACCTTTCTCCCCGTCCTATTTTCTTTTGGCCCGCACAAGTTGTTTACGGCCTGCCTTGCATTTTCATTTTGAGTTGTGCAGGCCTGATAATTTAAAGAATTGTGATAAAAAATAATAGAAATTAGCTTGACCGAGTCGTGTTATTGATTGATTGTAGAATTTAGCGCAAATATTACAACTTTTAAAAATTCCTAATTTACCAGTACCAGTTTGCATTACTAAATGAAACTATAGTTACCTGCTTTGTACTATGTTGGCGATGACATTTAAGCCATATCTAGTTTGTCAGGCAGCCCAAAATCAATTTTCAGTCGCGATAAATATTTTAAAACATCACATCAAAAATACCGCTTCCGGTTCTCTTGCCTTAAAGATAAAATAATTCTATATAATTTATAAATTGTTTGCAAATTCAAGGACGAGGTGGCCGAGTGGTTAAGGCGATGGACTGCTAATCCATTGGGGTCTCCCCGCGTGGGTTCGAATCCCATCCTCGTCGGAGATTTTTTGCTCTCTCCTTTGTTATTATTTATTTATTTAGGCATTTATATAGCGCTTTACAATTATTAAAAACATTTAAATAAAATAAAAATAAGACACTGGGATAGTAACTACTATACTATAGATAGAAACAATGAAAATGGCTATAAAACGAGGACACCAAGTTTTGGCCTATACTTCAGGATCAACCCGAAACAGAAAATGAAGGAGGGTGCATCACAGGACCTAAACAGATGAGCTGTAAGGGACTTTTTGAAAATGGACGAGGTTTCACAATGACGGATATGGAAGGGGAGCTGGTTCCAGATCGTGGGCCCATGGATGCAGAAGGAGCGTTCACCGATGGTCCTAGTTTTGGTTCTTGGGATTGAGAGGGTTCTACTGTCAATGTAAGAACGTAGTTGTCTTGTGGGGATGTAAGGAAGCAACAGTTCAGAGAGATAGACAGGAAAGTGAGGGTAAGTGAACGAGTTGAAGCAAAGATTATATATATATATTATAATTATACTGGTAACTATTGTTTCTGTTACTCATTACACTTACACACCAACATTAATAAATTTCATGATTTGAGGGATTAACCATACCAACCTATTACTGAAACTGCTAACCGGTAACCAAGTTCCAAAACTAAAACTTACTGTTATGGACTTAAGGTTATTTTAAAGATACTGGTATTTTTTAAAAAATATTTATTAAAGTATCCCAGTTGTGATAGGTGTGAATTAAACTTGCATCATTCGTCCAGTCACCCCTCGTGATTCCAAAATGTTTCAAGCAAACCCCTTCCCAAAATGCTAATAAAAATGCCAAGAAACCTGATTTTCTCTGTCTTCCCGTGGCCCCTATGTAACAATTCTGATGTTACATCATGGATATGTGACTTTCAATACTAACATATCACCAGCATGCCCTTTTATCATAGAAATTTGTAAAATCATTTATTGCAATGCAGATTTTTTCCACTCAGGTGGCTCTCCTAATATTTTTTTTAGTGGAAAAGGTAGGCTTAACAAGTAGATGTTTGGAGACATATCATTGAGAATATAACTATTGTAATTTTATATGTAAGAATATAGGTAGAGTGCTACCAAATAACAATGCAACATTAAAAAAATGTCGGCCATTGAACTTAAAAATACAAAATTCTGTGTGTAGCAGTTTATTAACAAAACATTTTTTAAAACATGCCATCAACAAATTCTTTTCACAAAATTTTTTTTGTTAAATACAAACACAAGCTTTGCAAAATGAGTTTAAACTGCAATTTTAACATTATTACCATGAAAATTGCATGTTACTGTTAAAAAAATTAAAGAGGGTGATATGCTATTATTTCTAAAACTGGCATCTAAAGAAATTATGAGCAACTGCCGAGTTCTTAATGAAAATCACTTTTATGTTTAGAACTTTAATGACTTGGTTTATGTCATTACTAACAATATCCCTGTAAGAAAAGCACGGTGTTATTTTTTAGGCAGTGTATTGTCAAGAAGAAATTTATTTAGTTCTTAAAAAGACATACTCAAAAATTGTATTGGAAGTAAAGTATAGTCATTTGGGGCTTTAAAATTAGCATATTGACATGCAGGACAAATGTGGAGAGAGGAAACCTCATTGTATCCTTTATATTCTGTATGTTTCAGTAATTTTAAAAAGTTTTAAAATTTTGAAAAAAATGCTTGAATGTTAAATTAGCAAGTGAGGATACAGCTGGCAAAGCAAGTATTTTATTTGACCTGACAGAAGCCGATTTTCATTTGCACCATGACCACTTATTCCATCCATTGGAGATTTGGCTACTGCAACAATTTTCAGATCAGTGCAGTGTGTTTTCTTATACAAATGTCAGGAAATCAATGAATAGATTTTGAGATGTTTACAGTTCCAATATTTGTACTCTGGGGTTCTTACAGTTCCTCCAAGCATGAATCCACATCCAGTTGGTTTAGAAATTCACTTATTTTTTGTCAAAGTCCTTTGCTTTTCTGCAAACTCCACTATCTTTTCATTAGTTGAGAGACCTTTACGTTTGCGCACCTTGTTCATGTACACCATTGCTCTGTTCTGTGCGTCAGCTTTTTCCCCAAAATGCAAATATTCTTCCTCAGTGGTTGGTACCCAGAAAGGATCTACAGATATGATCTGTGGAAAGTTGAGACCAGTGCACTTTCAAGTGTTTCTTGATTTAAAAAATGGGCATGGTTTTCAAGTATAATTAATTTTGTATTCCCATTTACCGTACCACAAATTTTATCTAATAAAAATAACTGTTTATAGATTCTATATTCTAAACTAAAATTTAGATTTTACCAGCTTGAAATAAATTCATTACAAAAATTTGTTAGCTTACCTCCCAGTGTGAAAACTTTAACTGAGGACTAGCAAGCCCACTTGTTTTTTTACGCATATCTTCAGCAAATCCAAAGCTCTCAATAACAGGAAGAGCGGCAGTAATGTTAAACATGGCAGTGCCTTCAAGCATTTCATCAGACAATACCTGACCATGACGTTTAGATAAAACTCCATGGAGTTTTCCTGAAAGGAGTTTCATTAAGATTTAAAGGCTTCGTCAGGGGCTTTTGAATTCCAATGATTTTAATTGATTAACTTTTAGTAACAGAGTTCTATATCTAAGGCTCAGAGTTTTTTCTTTCAGTCAATAATGCTTATGTTAGTTTATCAAAACAACACTTACCCAGCACATCCATGTTAGCTTGAATTTCACATCTATACATCGCTGCCATTAATCGTTGAGGTTGTGCTTGGAATGCTCTCCGACAGCCCTCTTTCACTGTGGATATTATCAGGCCAGAAAGAGGTCCATATACATTAGTTTGCCATTGAATATTTTCAGGACCATGAAGTGAAAACCTTGAAGAGTTTCCATCTACAGATAAAGTTGATTTATCTTCAGATATAGAGGCTTGTGATTTAAAATTAGAACATACATGATCATATGTGTCTCCACTTTCTTTTTGTAAATTATCTGACCTTTTCACATTTTCTTCGAGATTCTTGTTAGAAACTGTCAATAGAGTAGTTGATTTTATCTTGTCTCCATACCACCAATTCTCAACAATTATACAAACACCATGCATAGGTTCCTCACACAAAGGGCCGGCTAATGTTGCCATTTGAAATCCAACAACCACGCTGTTGTCGAATTCAGCTAGTTTGCAGGTACCTTGCGGTTCAGATTCAACTGCATGCCAAACAGATGGTCTGTTATAATCTTTCACATGGTTAAGAAGTATATTTGGCCCACAGCGTCTTGGTCCAAAACACCAAATTTTACTTTCTGCCCCATTCCATTCTGGACCTGCTTTGTCGAATTCTTCTTTGAGCTGAAGTTTGATGTTTAAAAGAGTCTCCTTAGCACTCTCTGTAATAGAGTAACCTGACTGGAACATGCATAAGGATAAATCTTATTTAAAATGATTAATTCACAGGGTTTCATGGTCTATTTAAATATAATATAATTAGTTTCTTAATGGGTTGAAAAAAAATAGCTTGCACAGCTTTTCGGTTAGTAAATTATTTCAGTTTCAATATTTTACAGTACTAATTGGCACTCAAACAAAATTATTTAACATACATTAATTACCATAACAAATTAGATCCATCACTTTGTTACATGTGCTCAACATGAAATTCTAAATAAGATTTTTAAGTACCTGCACATCTGAACGACCAGTTGTATTTGCTGATATCAAAGAGTCTAGAGCCTTCAAACTCTGCTGATGTTGTAACAAAATATCTGCAACATTACCAGGTAGTGGTGTTGCTCTCAAAAGGAAATGACACTGCCTATCAACAGTTGAAGCCTGTATTATATTCGAATTTCAGATTATTTATAATCATAAAATCAAAAGAGAGTAAATACATTTATCAAAGAAGTGGTAAACATGATAATGCTGTGACCAAAATCTAAAAATATTGATTCTTTTATTTTTATCAAAGTTATCAAAACAGATAATGATGTGCTGAAAAGGATTTTGATCAAAGGAAAAAAATGTGTTACGGCCTGGCTATTAAGGATATTATCAAAGTAATATGCTAATAATTTTGTACACAAACAAAATTGTATAAAATGTAAAAATCTCACCCAACTTCCCTTTTCTTCCATTATTCATGAATGATGCATGGAAAGAGTGTTTTTTTAATGCATTCAATGAATCAAAATTTCCTTAAAATGTTGAACTCACTTGAATTAGTCGCTTGTTATCTTCATCACCGTTTTCTTCATTTTCTATACTTTCATTCACCATGTCAACTTTGGGAGGAAGAACTATTGTCTCCCGAAATGGAACTATTGGTTTCGAGACATTCACATCTACCTTGCCATATCTGGTTAGCAACAAAAACGGAATACAACAAATGAACATATAAGCACTTTTAAGTATAGTTGTATTACTATTTTTTGTACCATGAGGTCTATCTATGATTTGATATGGACCAGAGCTTTTTTTTTTTTTTACATTTATATCTTGTGCATGCAAAGAGGTTTTCTCCATGTAATGTACTCACAGAGACTGACATTGAAAAATATTGCTTTTTTATAATAATAATAAAGTTATTTTTAAAAAATCACGCTTCATCCCCAAAGTCAACCATATTAAAAGAGAAATGAAACAATCTACATTTTACCACATTAAAACAAAACGCAACACTACAAAAATTACAAACTAGCATATCCATTCAAAGTCTTTCATCCCTTTCAACTATAAACAACACAAGCCAATATAAATCTAGGACAGGGATCGGGAACCTATGGCTCGCGAGCCAGATGTGGCTCTATTGATGGCTGCATCTGGCTCACAGACAAATGTTCGATTATAAAAAAAAGTCACATTAATGGTAAGAAATACTCATTATTGATTAGCAACAGCATAACAATGTTATTAAATAGAATTCAGAGACATAATTATTGCATTTTTAGTGTTGAAATTATACAAAATGCACACATTTACTTGAATTTTAGTTTTAAACATAATGTATGGCACAGAATTACTTTTCAAAATATGTGGTGTCCATGGCTCTCTCAGACAAAAAGGTTCCCGACCCCTGATCTAGAAGATAATAGCTAGCTGGAAAAGATGGTAGACAACATCACCCCTGCAGATGTTTGCGAAATAGATGTGCTTTCAAATCCGTTTTGAAGGATTCGAGTGTCTGGCTGAGAGCGACAGGAAGGTTTTTCCAAATTGTTGGGCCAGCAATGGCAAAACTGCGTCTTCCGTAAGTCTCAAGGCGAACACGCGGTATCAAGAGTTTGCCACTATAGGATGAGTGGTGTTGTCCAGTGGGTACATGAGGCATCATGAGCGATTTGAGATAGGACGGCACCAGGTCATGCAAGCGGCGGTAGCACAGAGTTGCAATTTTGTACTCTATGCGAGTACGGGCAGGCAGCCAATACAGCTCTCTCAGAAGTGTTTTAGCATGGTCGAATTTGCGTTTATGAAAAACAATGCGAGCCACATTATTCTGTGCTTTTTGCATTTTATCCAGGAGCATAGCTGGAAAACCCACCATGAGAGCATTGCAGTACTCCATGCGTGATAACATGAATACAGATATCAGCCTCTTTGATGCATCAAACGTTAAACGTTAAGAAAGTCTGATAAAACTAATTCTGTGCAGCTCTAGAAAATTTGCCTTGCAAAGCACGTTAATGTGATTTTCCATAGTTAGTATTCTGTCTAAGTAGACACCAAGGTTTCGCACTGTTTGAGCAAACTCAATCTGCACAACTGAGAGAGTAAGGAATTTTGTTATTTACAGATTTTAGCTTTTGAGCAATAGCAATTGGGATCAGCTCGGTCTTTTCATTGTTCAATTTGAGCTAGTTCATTGTTATCCAGTGCTTAACTGACTCCACTGTCTTCTGCGTCATACTAAGAAGCTTAGGGAACTGAGAGGGGGTCACGGATTGCTGAAGTTGGGTATCATTCGAGAACATGTGATATAGCAAGTCTAACTGCTTGATCACTGCACCCAGGGGCTGAACGTACATAGTGAAAAGCACCGGTCCTAGAACTGAGCCCTGGGGTACTCCAAATTCGATAATACATTGCCTCGAGATCGGGCCGTTTGCAATAACTGACTCTCTAACACTATTTAATGACTTGAAAAAAATTGAAATTTGTTTAACAAATATATTTTTAGTAGGATATTTCTAGCCACTAATTACCATAACGTCATTAGAGGCATGGATTAACGTCGTCTGTTAACATTTGGATGTTAAATAAATATAATAATAATAAATAATAATAAAGTTCATTTCAAAAACACGCTTCATCCCCAAAGGCTCGAAGCGCGGTACAAAGTCAACAAAAAACAAATCTATAATTTACCACATTTAAAACAAACGCAACACTACAAAAACTAAGTACAAGCATACAATGGCAAAGTCTTTCTAGCCATTTCAACCATAAGCAACACAGCCATTATGCATTAACTGGAAAATAAGGTTGACAATCATCCCAGAAGGTGTTTGCGAAATAGATGTGTCTTTAAATCGGTTTTAAAGGACTCCAGTGTCTGGTTGTTTCTGAGATCGACAGGAAGGGCGTTCCAAATTGTTGGACCAGCAAATGCGAAAAATCAGAAAAATGTTATAAGAACGACATTTTTCTTTTGTATTTTTAAAATTTTCTTAACTTCATAAAGCCTAGTTGGATTCAGAACTGAAAATTAAGAGCACTTTGTTCTTTCACTTTTTTTTGTGGGTTTATAGTAATACTAATAATTATTATTATTATTAATATAAGTGGTTTTATATAGGGTTGTACCCCAGCCTAGGGCTGGGCTCACCACGCTGTACATACAATTTAACAAACATAATCAAAAACGTAAAAAATTAATTAACATACATTAATTAAATAAAACAAAACAAATGTATTTTTAAAACTATTTACATGTCAAGCCATGGATGACACCCAGCAGCATCGTTTTTCGGTCAGAGGGGGAATCAGTCAGGACAGTAGAGTTTAAAAAGATGTGTTTTGAGTGCAGTTTTGAAGGCTGTGATGGTCGGTTAATAAAGTGCCATATGATCTTGATTAGCACATACTCAAATTCACTGGTAAAATTTATTAGTCAGTAATAAGTAGGGTTAACTTAGAAAATGATCTCCTTAACCCTTTACAGTCCAAGCCTTTTCAGCCTTTTCTACTCCCTGCGACCAAGCAAAGGGACATAACTCTATTTTAAATCAAGGTTCTTTGTTTAATTAATTCACAGAAAATAAACTAAACGTCATAAAATTAAATTAAAAATACCTAAAACAGATAAATGGACATACTTTGTTGTGGGTGACATTGTGAAGGTGAAATCAAAATAGTTTGACTATTAAAAAATCCAGAAAAAAATATTTTAAATTTTTTTTTTTAAATTCTGCATGTTGTCCTCTGTCAATCAAATTATATTCTATCTTATAGTCTCTGATGAAACTCTGCAAAGCACACACCCTTACAGAGGTGAATGTGGCAAAAATTACACCCAAAAATTTTTTTTTTTAAATTCTGCATGTTGTCCTCTGTCAATCAAATTATATTCTATCTTATAGTCTCTGATGAAACTCTGCAAAGCACACACCCTTACAGAGGTGAATGTGGCAAAAATTACACCCAAAAACAGTTTCTAGGGCTCTTCCACTATTGTTTTTTTTGCCGGTCTTGCTGCAGAAGTGGCACGTCTTTTTCCTTCCAGAAAGTCTCATCTGCTCGTGCTTATAGGATGACGGCTGCGCTGTTGCTGCAACAGAAACTATATCAGTGTTTCTCTTTAGCTGCTGAGCTACGGAGTTTAGCATTCCTGATAGTAAGTCTAGGCGGAAATGGAGATGATTGGAGGCTGGATTATTTCTTTTGGGAGTGGAGGGTTTCATGGTCTCCTTCATAATAGTGAAGGCGTTGATTATTCCTACTTGTATTAGGAACCAAAGACCATACCTCCACCATTTTTTGGATTTTCTCCCTACAGGGTAGTAGGATCTGTACTGGTCAGCCAAATCCACACCACCCATATGCCTGTTGTAGGTGAGGATGGGCTGAGGAATAGTAACATCTCTGGGCCCTTCCTTTGATTTTCTACTTACAGTTTCCACACCACTCTCTGTATTGGTGCACAGAATGGACACTTGTCTCTTGTCACACCAAGTTGTTGCCAGCAACCTGCCTTTCTGCAAACATCTTACATCACCACCTTTCATCTTTTCTGCGCGTAGTGGCCACCCCTTCCTGTTGGTGCGGATTGTTGCACAACAATGAGTGTTCACATTCAGCAAATCCTCAGCAAGTTTGACACTTGAAAAATAATTGTCAAAGTAAAAATGGTGTCCCTTTTCTAAATATGGTCCTCCCACAGTAAAGATGACATGGTGGCCTATGCCATGTGGCATTGGGTCATTTACTTTGCCGGTGTAAAATTTAAAATTACACATGTACCCATTGCGGGGGTCAGCTATGCACCAAACTTTGATGCCCCATGGAGTCGGTTTGGCTTTTATGTATTGTTTGAAAAACAATCTCCCATTGAAGCTTATCATAGCCTCATCAATGCTCAGTTCCTTTCCTGGGTAATAATTTTCCTGGCTGTTTTTTATTATAATGTCCAGAAGGGGTCTAATTTTAAATAGAGGATCGTAGCCTGGCTGTCCCTTAGCAACAGCATTGTTGTTGTCATTTAGATGCAAATATTGACTTATTTTCTTATATCGGTTTTTACCCATAATGTCAGCTACGGCTGGAACTCTAAGTCTTTGGTCTAGAGACCAGTATGAGTCAACTTCTGGCATGTGGTGGATCCCAAACATTATATTTATATAAAAAAACTTCTTGATCTCATTGGAGCAAACTGGGTGCCAGTAAGAGTCTTTTTTACCACACTTTGTTGCACTCTGGATTGCATATAAATTTGTTTGTTCTGACACGTGTTGGTAGAAACTATCAGGGATAAACAAAGAAAAATAATCATAGGCAACTGCATCCTCAGGCAAATTATGCTTAGGGCCTGATTGCTCTGTGAATGGGAACAATTCGATGCTTGAAAAATTTGCAGACCATTCCTGATCTGTGTGATCATTTGTAGTTATTATAGGTCCATTTTCATCGATGTCACTACTATTATCTTCTCCACTTGAATCACTATCACTAGTAGCGTCATTTACATTAATGTCTATATCCGATTCTCCACTATCACTGCTGGAATCATGAAATAATGAAGCTTCATTAGACCTAAGCTCTTTCAAAATTTTATCCATTGCTTGGAAAGCCATTTTTTTTGAAGCGAAAAATCACAACTTTTCAAAAAATCATAGAAAATGAGCCCCTAAGCGCACCACGTTCAAGTTGGTATTAAAAATAATGGCAGAAACGAGGCTTTCTTCTGGTAGAACTATTAATAGTAATGAGCAATGTATTTCCGCTGTGCTAAGAACGAAAGTAAACAACCTCGAAACGGGCGGTTTTGGCCGCAACGGACTGTACGCTTAAGGAAAAAATCGGCGCATTTCGGGCGCATCGGACTGTAAAGAAATGAGCAATGTATTTCCGCTGTGCTAAGAACGAAAGTAAACAACCTCGAAACGGGCGGTTTTGGCCGCAACGGACTGTACGCTTAAGGAAAAAATCGGCGCATTTCGGGCGCATCGGACTGTAAAGAGTTAATTTATTGTGTTCATGCATATAGTGACGTTATGAGACTCGTTTATTATCTTAATGAAAAAATAATGACCCACCTTTCTTTAAGATCATCAATACAACGTTGAAGATGAACTTCTCCTGCTGCCACAATAACATGTTCCCCTGTCTCTTGAATTCTCACTTCAACACAAGGATCTGCCTGGTTCAACAGTTTCAAGCCCTTCACAAGACGATTCATATCACCTAGCGGGGAAAAAATAAGTTTTACTTTTAGAAGAAAAAGAAAATTTCGATTCTCTTTTGTAACTCTATTAGGAACTCACAATGTTGTTAAGCTTTTGTTTTTTCTTACTCCCTTAAATGGGCACACTAATTATAAGTCATGATAATATTAATGTATATTGATCAAAAGCATTCAGGATAGAGATAGTTAACTTTATTCATTTAAACTACAAAATGAAAAAGAGTTGGACGCTCCGAAGAGGCCTTCAGAAATGCTGTATGTAAAACATTCAAGTAAATACATTGAAAATAAATCTCACAGGCATTGACAGGCTCCACAGCAACCCTTACAATTGGGGATCCATCAAAAAACATGTCTGTAAAGGCAGGGCATGTAACTCTAGACGCCAATGTCCCAGACTTTAGGATATGGGCCTCTAATCCCCCAATCCCAAGGACATTTCCAGCTGATACCTCATCTAGAGCTTCAAGCTCTCTGCCCATGAAGAGATAAAGCTCATTGATCTGAACAGGAATTATGTGTGGATATCTTGTCAGTAAGTCAGGTTGACCGGCCATGTCTTCTGGTGACAGTGAGGACAACTAAAGAACATGGTTAGAAAAATGGTTTATGTTTAAAAAATATCAACCAATTTTTGTGTTTACAAACTATTACGTAGGCTTAAAAATCAAGTATTTCAAGTTGTTTAAATTATGCCCTTGCATGACGATGTAATTTCATGATAAATATATTATATATACAAATAAACAAAACCGTTCAATAAAAATCTTTTTACCTCATTTAAAATTTCTCCAGGATCATGTTTAGGACCCAAAAAAAATACTGTTGCACCTCTACGAATGGTACCACTGAATATTCTTGCAAAAGCAATGAACACATGATCCTCTCCATTTTCTTCAGATGAATCTAAATTAAATCAAATCAAAGTTTATTAATATCTTACAACTTCATTTGGTTTTGTTAGTTAGATGAATCACAAATCATTATACAAATGTATAGATAACAATAAACATTAGATGATATAAGAAGCTACATTAAGAGCACAGAAATCTGTCTTCATACATGTGCCTCACAGTGCAGAAATTAATTCTAAAAATTTAACAGATCAGATCCAAATAAAAAGTTAATTTCTCAATAACAAATTTCACTAGTTTTGAAAATAGAATGTTGCTTTCTCATAGGAATAGCATATACAAGTTTTTCTATATTTCATGGGCACAGTGTCTAGTTTTTAAATTTAAAGGCCCATAACATTGGTAGAAAAATTTTGTTACTTTGGAAACATTGCAAACTAATTCACAAAAAAATGATTATTCAAGGAACTTTTCGATGTATCATCTTCATGTGAATTTTTAAATATTCTTTTCTGAAGATAATTTATAGTTACTTACTATTCTATTGTCTCAGGTTGTTCATTTTTATTTTGCTTTAGCAATTTAAATAGTTTACATATTTTTAATAATTGTAAAGCACTTAGAGCTGTAAGGTAAGCCCTATACAAAAATGCCTAAATAATAATAATAGGCAAATGTGTTAAATCTTACCCTGTGAACATACTACTGTATCAACTTTTGGAGAAGTTATTTCTTTGCAAGCATTTTCTCCTACTGGCACTTTCACTTGATTAGCAGAAATCTCAGCATGTCTCCGCCTAGCTTCCTCCCGTCGAAAATGTAATTCTTCTTCTGTTAAAGGCCTGTACAGCATTATAATTATTGTATCCTAATGCTTAGTAAATCTCACATGGAAATCTTCGTATGAAATAACCATAACTATTAATAATGCATCTTTAGTAAATACTTATATAAAGCATTATATTTCCAAACTCAAATGCTTAAATTAGATCAGAGATTTGCAACCTTTTTTTTTGTGTGGGGCTATTTTTATAAATCACATGACTTTAATATCTACAAAGTAAAAATGAGAGTTGCCTTTCATTACTGTTTAGTAAGAAAAAAAAAGCAGCATCTACACATACAAAGACCCACAGGTTACCACCTTTTGAGTTAGTGTGAGCAGGATTTTTTAAATGAAAACTTTGTTTTTTTGGCACTGTGTAGCTTTAAATAAAATTAGGGAGGGTGAAATCAAATATTTATGCAATAGAATGTTTCAGTTGGTATATTATAAAAAATATAACTTGGAATGAGTGAAAAGAAGTAATTATTATTTTTAGAAATTGTAAATATTAAATTAGCAAAGTCAGTCATATACACAAATGACACTAGGCAACTCTGTCTACATTTCAAAATATGTTAATTTTAGTTCAATGAACAAACCAATTTCTAACGGGAAAATTAAAGAAATCTTACCTCGCTTTATTTTGTGGCAAACATTTTTTATCCATTGGGAACATCTTAGACACATATACAATGACAGGAGCATCAGTGCTGCCATCACATGCCAGGAAATCTTTAAAAAAAAAAGAAAAGTTAAATATTAATAAAGCAACTATTGATATTTCAAATTAAGTTTCAATAACCAGCAATTTTAAAAAACAAACTTTTTAGATGAAGAAAACAAGAATTGCACTGTCTCCAAACCTTTTTTCAGTTCTTGTGTCAGCACTGGAAGTGATGAAAACTGACGAGTTTTACTACACATAAGAGCTTGTACTCTTTCCTCTGACATCTGCAGGGGTGATGGGGTGCAAGAAACCACTGTGGCTAAATATAATAAAAGGAATGTTAAACTTTAAGCTTTTCTAATTATTTTTTAATATTATCTATTCCAGAATAAAACATAGTGAAGATTACTCAACCTTGCTTATGTATTTACATATTGAGCTTTGAAAATGATCTATATTATTTAAATGTAGTACCACCAAAATAGTAAATTAGTCAAACAAAAATATCAAAAGAGTCGGTAACATCATTAATACTGAAGCTGAAGTTTTCACAGTATGGTCATTTTTTAACACTATTTAACACATTAAAAAATTATTTTACATATTAAACTAGGAATCATATAATTTAGCTTTAATACTGCATTGATTAACACTATTTATCCTTTGTGTATTACTTTACGTATATTCCAACAACTAAAAATAAATGAATAAATTACCAAGTACAGCCTCTGATAAAGGCAACCATTGACCCATAATAGCTTGAAGAAGAAAACGAGGATCCTTATTCCGCATATCTCTTGGCAGTATTGTCAGCTCAAGAGATTTGATGATTTTTTCAATCGTTGAGGGATCTCTAAAATTTAAAATATTTTCTAACATTTATCTCTGACATTATTCCTTGCGTGTTTGAAACCTTATTTAGAGATCCAAAAATATATAGAACTTAAAAAAATTATTACACATGTAAGTCAGGAAGTATTGCTATCTAAGCTTAATTTCTAAGTTCAAAACAGTTGTAAATGTTACCTCTTTTCTAAAACAGCATCATAGGCTGCCCAAATATTGTCAAAAGCAAACTGAACAAACAGTGGTTTCTTTCCCTTTGACTGATTAAAAAAAAAAATTTGAATGTGTAAAATTTTTTTCTTGTATTTGACAGATAATCATGTAATAATTAAATAGCTTAAAAAATTCTTTTTTACACTACCTAGTTTTGTGAAGAAATAATACAAGGTATGTGGAAGCTTGACTTCAAAGACAGGACAAGCTTCCACATACTTTGCTCTAATATTTCCTTCTTTTATTATCCTAGCTTTGTGATAACACATCCAATGATCCATACAGCCTTTCAAGACACCTAAAATTAATATTAAGGTACCTGAGCTCCTTTCATTATACGCTTTGCCTTCATGTTGATATAATAATCTCCCCATAAAGTTTTTTGAAGAATATGCTCCTTGACACCAAGCTTTACAGCATACATTTTAGCAAAGTCCCCTATGCTATTTGAATAAAAGGTGTATTATTTATGTTACCAGCATTAGCATGTATGCAGATTTTTGTTGGACAAATGACAATAATTAGAACATCTAAAAGGTAAAAATGAGAAAAGTGAAATTACTAATTTAACAACCTTAAGCCTCTTGCAGTTAACTAATAACTCAGATTATACTATTTTAAACTACAATAAAAAAAACAACTTTTAACCTACGTAAATCCCCAGCCATCAATAGCACTTGCAAATACCACATTTCCTAACTCAGGACAAAAATAGATATTCTTGTGTTCTTCCTTATCTTCAATCACAGTCCAATCATAGGTCTAAAGGAAATAATTAGATTATATATTAGCCTCCATTTGTTTATAGACTTGATACAAATGAAAGATAACAAACAATTGCTGAAACTTTATTAGCAAACATAAAAAGTAAATGTGGTTGAAAAGATAAAGCTTACATTCAGTTCAGTACTATCTTGCTGGCTAAGTCCATCAATGTTGGTATCCTTAAAAAAATTAATTTAAACAATGTATTTTGTGCCATTAAAAAATATGGGGATGCAACCCGATTAACACAATAATAAATAAATCATAAGCACCACCTCAGCATAAAACACAGAGGGCAGAAGACACCACACACCACTAGTTATGATAACCTTTAAAGTAATTTACAGGGATTTAGAGCAGGCTTTTTTGGCAGAGCACCGCTCCGTTCTGAGCTACGGCAAAATTAAAAAGGGAGGAGGGATAGATAGCGGGGGTGTTAAATGAAAAAAAAAGGGAGGTGGGGTACTAAGTGTTAAAGAAATGTTACTAACCCATCTTATTAACTAGGCAATAGAAATGCATGCACCTGCAGCAAATCTTAAGAAGAGTTGGGAAACATAGCTGCTAGAAGAGTGGGACAACATAGCTGGTAGAAGTATGGGGCATCATAGTTGGTAGAAGAGTGGGGCAACATATATGGTACAAGAGTAGGGCAACATTGCTCGTAGAGGTGTGAGGCAACATAGCAGGTAGAAGAATAGTGCATCAATTTTCACAAATTGTTTCTTTAATTAAGAAGGAAAAATTAAAGTTTTTAAAAAATTACGAAATTCAAATTTTATATGAAAGAAAAGTTAAGTTAATATTTTTTTAAAATTTTGGAGCAGTAAGAATATTTTAATACCTTCAGCTCCTGGCAAAAAGTAAAATACTTGCTCCAGCTCCTAGCCAAATCCTTGGTATTTTATGTGTTGATTTTGTTCATATTTTATAGATCTTTATATGCTCTCAAAAAAAATTTTGAGCGAGTATAGCCCCCTCCCTACCTACTCACTTAGCCTGCTTATGGGCTTTATTTATTATTATGCTATATTACTTATTTATTTTAAAATAGGAGCTTGTATTAATTTTTAAAAAAAAAATTAAATGTTTAAAAACTAATTTTCTATTTGTTTAGAAAGTGTAACTATAGGATTAATGCTATATCGAATTTAACACTACAATTTTCCTGCCAATCCAAGAATAAAGAGTTATTTAGAATAGTTTAAACATACCGATGATAGTTTCTCCATTGCATCAGAAGTAAATAACTGGTTGGTAAACAAATTAATCTGGAGAAAAAAAAAGTATATCAACTTAATTCTAGTAAAGTGTCTTATATCAGATGTGCCTTCTAAGATGTTTTTTTTTTAAATATTTAAATTAGTGTAATGTAACTGCAACAGTTTCGAAAAACAATTAAATACAACTAGGAATGTTAATATAATGGGGGTTTTTTTTGGCAAACTATTTATTGGTTTAAAAAATCTAATTTTCAGATGATTATAGATATTATTGGATTTCATAGTAGGTACTCCAATACTTGCTTAGTGGGCTGTATATAACCGCAATGACTGCTTATGAGATCAAAGAAATATAGGTACTTTCATTACACCAAAACCTTTTTCAATTTAAATATGTGATTTAATTTTGTTTTCCTTAAAAATTATTATTGTTTTTTTTTGTAATTCATTTCTCTTCTTGGTTACATCAAAAAATGTTTTGTATATTGATTTTTAAAGGCCCATAACTGATAATAGTTATTTAAACCAATAACAGGTGATGTGATTACCATTTAACATCCTTAAATTCAACCATTCCATACGATAAGTATAAAGCATTTCAAACCTGTTCTAAAATTTGTATCAGATGATAGTATGCTTCAATCTGTGTCATCTTTAACTGAGATATAAGACGATCAATTTTATTTAGCACAAGGATTGGACGAATATTTTCTAGCCATGCCTGTCTCATAACTGCCTGAGTCTGAAATTCAAAAAAATTAAACACAAAATCAATTATATTTTTTAAAAAAATGTTTTAAATAATGTTCATGAAATTTTAATTAAAGCTTATCATAGTTTCAGAAGTCAAATGTAAATTGAGGTTCACTATATAATTTTCATATGACTAAGAACACCATAAAATATTTGCTAAGACACAAAATGCACATATATTCCTAAATTATAACTGAGGAGGTCAGATGTATGCTAACCAGGAAAGTAAGCTTAGGACACTAACCTGAGGACACACTCCTTCAACTACATCTACAACCACAATGGCTCCATCACACAATCGAACTGCTGTGGTTACTTCACTTGAAAAATCCACATGGCCAGGAGAATCAATTAAATTAATAAGGTACTGATTTGTGGGAGATTCTTCACTTGTGCCTTTTAGAAAAATCATTACAATGTGACAGGAGCTGAATATACCAATAAATAAAAATAAAATGAAGACACGACCAGCAGTCATACAAGCTAATGAATTCATTATGACTATTTGTTGTCTAAAACCAAGTATTTTTGGTTTATAACATTATTAACATTCACTGCTTTGATCTATCTTTCTAAATGCTATCTTGTTATAGTTATATCTTGTACCTTCATGAGCCTTAATGGAATTCAACAGGTTTTTAGATGTGAAAAGGCTGGTAAGAGCTCATTAGAAGTGGCACTATCTTATTAAAATTCAAAACAAGATGAATTCCATGGTAACTGATGTAATTCAATTCGCTTCCAGTATAAATGAAAAAGGCCATTAAGTGTGCTTAATTAAACTATACATGGTTTGAGTTTTAAATTGGTAGACTTTCAAAACATAGTATTTATAAAAATATATTAAGTCTTAAAATAATAAATGTTAGCATCTTCTTGGTTGATTTCCTCTGAAATTTCAGAAATCTGCTTAATTAAAATACATTTTTTCAACATAATTATCTACAGTTTTTACTTTTCTAATGAAAAACTTTAAAAACTACTTAGAAAGCACATTGAAAAAAATACAAATAAAATAATGCAACTGCTGTAAAATGATGTTGTAACTGGTGTAACGTGCCCGAATGCCATAAAAAGAAATTCAACAACATCCATTCTTTAACAAAATTACAAATACTTCACAGTAGCATTTAAATAAACTTTATTTATTAGATGTTAAGACAATAAAATTCAACAAAATTTCTATTAAAAAGTGCAGACAATATGTTCTTAATTCAAGATGGCCACCAGGTCAAGTTTCACACAAAACAAAGATACTAAAAATGACTCCATACCAAGATGCATGAAATTAATTTATAAAGAACCAAATTTTATGCTATTTAATTTTTGGGTGCTGTATCTACATTTACATGGAATTCAAAAAATTATATATTTTAACTAAAGAAAATATATACACTTTTGAACTTTTAAGGAGTTATATTTATCTCTTTTAGGGGATCAAAATAAAATAAAAGGTATTACCTTTAACAGGTTTTTCATAAACTAGAGTTATAGCACTAGCTTTCATTGTAATTCCCCTCTCCTGCTCATCTTCTCTGTTGTCCATGTAGCGTATCTAGAATTTTTGTTATGATAGGTTAGGATTTCATACACGTAAAAATAATTAATTAATTTTCAAAATAAGTTTTCATTAAACTGAAACTGCTAATTTTTGTCAAAATGTATGCAGCTTGTAAAGCCAGCAGTTAAATATATTTAAAATTAACTTTAAATAATTAACCATATAGGCCACCATTATAAAGGATATTTAGAAATGTACTTTTGTTACCGAATGTGCAAACTTTCCATATCTGCCATAATATTTATCATCACAAGAGAACAAACAAATATTCTAAATTATTGAACACACCTTTCCTGCATTTCTCTTTGAAATTATTCCATTGCAGGCAACTAAAGAATCAGCAATTGTTGTTTTCCCTGTGTAAATACACAAATGAATGTCTGTATCAATAGCATCTAAATCCAACAGTAAATATTTACTTTTTTAAAGCACACTATAAGAAAAGTTTTAAAATATGCTCATTAAAAAAAAATGTTTTAAACATCTGCCAATTTTTTTACCATGATCCACGTGAGCAAGTATACATATGTTACGAATTTTCAAAGGATGCTGCTGAAGCTCTTTCACTTGTTCTAAAGTCTTTACTTTCATGTTTAAGTATTGTTTTAATACATGGACCTGAAAAAATTAACAATGTATCAAACAGAATGGTAAAAATAATTAATTAATACTTAACGCAAATAGAAAAGATGAATAAGTTAATTTTTTACATGTTTTTCTATGCATTCATGATTTAATTATAGCACCATGTAAAGCTGAATATATAGGTCAGACCTGCACAACTCAAAATGTAAGGTGGGCCGTAATAATTTATGAAAAACTTGTGCAGCAGAAAGAAAATTGGACAGGGGGGTAAAGGTATTAAGAAAATAATAATAAAAAAAAAAAATTTCTTACTTTGAGGGCCGCAAAGTGGGTGCTGGCGTGCTGGTGGTATGTTGTGCAGGCCTGATATAGGTAATGATTTGAATGCCAACATTATTTCAATATATTGTTTTAATTATACTTATTGAAAATGTGTTTCACTTATTTTTAAATTTAAGTTGTGAGAGAATAAATTGCTTTATTTTTGGCAATGTCTGAGAGATATGGATAATTTGGTTTAACTTAAACAATATGTTGTGAGTTGAAAAATAAATATTTTTAATGCTTCCATTCAATCACATTGACATCATTATCAATTCAGCTGGGAGGTCCATTATTTATTTTCTTGTCTCTTTTAGTGCAAATTAAACGTATGCAGGTACATCCACGCTCTTTGGGTGGATCTTCTGCTGCTGGAAACTAAAACTAGAAATGTTGTTCCAATGAAATTTTGGAATGGTATTCACTTATATATTATTACTTTTCTTAGAAATTAGAAGTAACATCAAGGACCCAAAAAGTTGACGAATGTAGCTTAATTATGATAACTTTTTATTTTAGAGTCATTGAATCATATTTAAGCAATTTTTAAAAAAATTTTAAAACCTTATTTACCAGATGTAACTACATTAAAACTCTTCAATATTAAATAGAGCAAGGACTTATTGTTTTCCGATAAGTCTATGTTTTCCTTGGTTTTTCATGGAATTTTGGGTCAATTTACACTTCACAACTCCCCATGAATTTCTGTATACCAGTGAGCTCCCTTTGTTTAGTCGTGGTTTGTTACTAGAGTTAACTTTTCTCTCTATTTGATATTAATACGCTGATGGAATGAACACCGGATTTGAAAACAAGGTTGCCATCTGAGTCTGATAATTTGATAAATGGAATTTGACTTAATTGAAATGATTTACTATAGAATTTTTAATAAAGTGTGTAAAAGAATATTCTATGATTTACTGACGAAACTTTAAGTTGGGTTTTGTTTTTTCAGTACAGTGTGCAACTGTTGAACACAGACCTGCCTACCCTGGAACTCTTAAACTGGTACAATATCATCTCGAAATTTTACAATACAGTATCTTAATAGGGAATAAATAAACATACAGTATATATATTATATACAATAACTACTCGCATCCCATGTGAGTGGGATCGAGTTCAGCTGACATTAAAAAAGATCACTTTTAAAGTTAGATGACTGACGTTTACATTGCAATCTGTGGTCACTTTGTTTTGCAGACTTGTATCTGCTTAGATATCAATTTATACTTATGTGAACTTGCAGATCACATTATTAAAGTCTGTCACTGGTAAAAATAAAGTTACTGGTGAAATTTAATGTGGTTCAAACTCCAATTCAGTTCAGCATAAAATAAAATTTATTAAAATAAGATTTAATTAACAAATGAGGATGTCATTTACAAGACCTACCAAATAAATTGAGATTTATTTTTTAGAAAAAAAAAGCAGGTTAAAAAAAATAAAAAGAATCAATAAACTGTAAATGGGTGAAAGGAATAGGAGTGTTGGAACCAAACAGGGGTATGAAAGTTCGTATAGCAATTTTCTTTGTTAAAAAATAGATTCTCAAATGCCCTTTAAGACCCTATAAAATATGTCGAGATCTAATGTTGCTGGGTGGAACTGTTGAGAAAATGTTCTAATTTTTTAAAAAACAACTAGTTTTTCTGTTTTTGAAATAGATATGTCAGAAAATTATGTCATACAGCAACTAAGCAATCAAAAGTGAGGATTGATTAAAATAATTGTCATTATATTATGGGGTTAATTTACGCTTGAGTTAGGGATAATGACTTAGAATTTAGGATACGTAGAGATGTTGATTTTAAATTTGAAGGTTTTTCAAGAAATTTTTAAAAAATTAATTAAATTAGAATGATTTTTAATCATTATGAACAGTTTTTTTCTTTAAAATTTGTTTGTTTTAACTTTGTTTCCTTAAGTTGTTTAATGTTATCAATTTTTTACACTGAGAGTTTCAAAAATGTTTTTTAAGAATGATTTTTCACAAACTGGCTAACTACCTGGGAGCGGCTCAGCGTTTCTTTTGTTATGGCCACACGCCACTGGTAGCGCCAATGCCAATGTTTGTATCATAGTAAATCGAGTCAAATATTTATATTATTCCGTTCCAGTTTTGGTTTGAGATTTTAATTTACCAGGATTTTTATTTTCGAGCTATATGCTATCGGCTTTAAAAAAATTTACTGTAGCAACAAGTTTACTTTACTAAAGGCATATAAGTAATTGGAAGTGTAAATATTAAATATTATTCAGTTTCTGTTTTCTTTTCTTTGGTGCATTTTTGTTTGATATTATTTGATAAACTTTTTGGAAACCACCTAATAAAAGGCTTTAAATGTTTTGGAAATTAAAAATATATAGGTATGTTGGTACTTAGAATGATTTCCCATATCAGTTCTGTGGTCAGGGCATGCTTCTGTCATCTACGCACCCTGGGTCAGCTGAGTCCTCAACTCAATGAGAGGACAGCCAATGCTGTAGCGGTAACTCTAATCCAGTCAAGATTAGATTACTGTAACAATTGTTTGTGGGGTTTACCAGTTTACCTCAGAACCAAATTCAGAGACTCCAGAAGGTACAAAATACTGCAGCACGCATTGTATCGGGGATAAAGAAATCTGACAACATCACCCCAGTTCTACAAGATCTCCATTGGCTTCCTGTAAGTGAGCGTATTAATTACAAAATTCTGTCCCTGGCACACAGCTGCATAGAAGGCTCTGCAGCGGAATATCTTAAAGTTAAAGAACTGATTTTATAAACATGTATCATGTATCCTTAAAGAACCTGTGGTCTTCAACACAGTCCTTACTGAAAATTCTCAGTTTGGATAAACACAGAAAAAAGTCTTACGGAGTGTGCTCTTTTGAAGCGATAGCGGCAAAATTATGGAAAAGTTTGCCTCAATCTTTGAGGAGAATTAAAAATGATAACAAATCAAGTAAGAAACATTTTAAAACTTTTCTGTTTAATTAGATTTAAATTTAATAAAACCAGGGCGCAGTGAGCATGCTAAAAGTAATTCTCTGAGTCTGCATTGACCAAATAAAAGTTAAGGGTACCAAGTTAAGTAACTATTAAATATTAAGTATTAAGTCAGTACAGTACAGTAGTACTCAGTAGTTCAGTAATTTGACTTAATTGAGTAACTTTGAATATTTAATGTTTATTTTTTGTTAACTTAACTGAACTAACTATGAGAAAAAAGTAAGAAGAATTTTCTTTTGTAAATGTTTCTTATCGTTGAATTCTTAATAGGACTAAATAATATGATTTTATTACTTAATGTTATTACCGAAAAAATACACCAATATTGACGATATCTGGTTCTATAACAAATTGGATCAAAACACGTTATGAAAATTAAATTGTTTACTTCCGATGGGTCCCTTGTCTATTGTCTATTGCTCAGTAAGCCGTGGATAAGTTTAGTATTTCTTGCTTTAAGTACCGGTAAATTTAAACTTTATTGTTATTGTTCGTCCGTCGAGGATCGATGAGGACCATCGAGTCGTCTGGTGACTGATGACTTGCGCGGATGACTTTAAAGTGAAGAAGAGTTGCGCGGCGTCTACCTCACTCTCTCGTCCGAGCCCACCATATCCAGTGGCAAGACTCTTACGTCAAGACGACCAGGGATGGGTTCGGTTGCAGGAATTGTCATTGTTTGCGCCTTACGGGACTCCAACTCCGGGTTTGAATTCAGAGTTTCATTCTCTTAGATGAGTTGCCGACCAAGGTTAACGAGTCTCATCCACCCAGGATTTAAACTAATCGGTCAAGTAGGCATACATACATTTGATATTAAATAGATTAAAAATAAATTACAAATTTGAAAAAATTTGAAAAAAAAAATTGTTAAAAAAATTATTGTAATTTATATTTCTTTCTTTATTAGCATACTTGCTGTCTTAATTTTTCCAAAAACTGAGAACTCCAAATTTAACTAGGTTATAAACTACATGTCATAAACTCATAGTAATAAGGTGATCTGCAATGGTACATAATCAAACTTTTCACATTATCCCTGCAAATTATACCCCACAAGCTTTGCTGATTACGAACATATTTATAATTTCATACCCTAATATCTCCTTACATACTCTACACGTACATTTTTAAACACCGTCAAACGACAGTAAGGATCGAACACGTAGACACGGTCCAATATCTCTTTAATAATTAAACTAACGTAAATAATTGTATACGTTTAATAACCACAAGATAAACACTCAACGCCAATGAAATTTAATCATGACATGGTCCCAAGCCTTAGCATGTCGTATGCAGGCTATCTGATAACCACAAATGGACAAGGTTGCCTTCATTTGGTCCTCTCTTTGGAGAGCCAAAAAAAAACCAAAAAAAAAAAACAAACTTACCATCCGATTGAGTGGTGTTATTGGGGTTTGGTGTGTAATAGAGATACTATCTTTTGGCAAAGATACTAAGGTAATGAAGGATGAATAAAGCTGTTTTTTTGTTTTTTGTTTTTTTTTGTTTTCTTCAAATAAATGTATTGTATGCCCTTATGTCCCATGTAAATTTAAATCATAATTGTTGCATTAAATGTTTGGTGACTTAGGCTACTTGCCTGGTCGTACTACTTCACAGAAGGCGTTAGCAGTGGCGTAATTAGGATTTTTGCCACCCGGGGCGGGTCAAGCTTTTTGTCGCCCCTTCCTCATAAATAATTATAAAATTGGTCAAAAATGCCACCCCTCAATATAAAGGGGAAAAAAGTGGCAACCGGGGCTGACCACCCACTCTGCAAACTCTCTCCCCCCCCCCCCCCCCCCCCCTTATGACACTGAGCGTTAGTTATATGTCTCATTTGTAAGGGAATATGTCTTTTGGAATAAAAGGCTTTAATATTAAATGTATGTAGCCAACCCAAAGCTTTATTTTAAATCGGAATATATATTGAAATTATATCTCAGATGATTTTTTTTTTCAAAATTGCGTATAAAAATCGTGCGGTGAGCTCTTGGAGCTCTTGGCCGTGACGGACCTTGTAGTTGAAGGGCTCATATTAAGGTCACTCTCTTTATGCAGAGATAAATCAGCTATCACATAAGAAAATGGCGGAGCTGCCTGTTAATGAACCCAACAAAAAGTTCTTTTATCATGAACACGCATCGAAATTACTAAAATGTTTGAATGAATTTAGAGAACGTCCAAATTTGTGTGATGCGACTGTTACAATAGGATCTAGTCGTATCCCAGTACAAAAAAACATTTTGTCTGCAGCAAGCCATTATTTTCGGTGAGTAAACCGAGTAATCCACAAGTCGCCAGTCGGCCGGTCGTTTAATAATTTGATTGATTTAACTCATTACATTAAATTTACAATTACATGTATACATCGGATTTCGTATTTTAACCTGTAAACTTATTTATATGAATTCTTTATAAAAGTATATTTCATAGTAAAATGCCATCTTTTTGTTGGAATACAACAACATTTTAACAAATTTTACAAGATAAAAATAAAAAAGGTAGGCTACATTTTAATGAATCTTTTGTGTAGCGGGTACTTTTACGGAGCCATTGGGGTAAATCACGGATAACTTTTCTATCTTTAAAGTTAAAGATATGTTACAAAAGTTGCCCAGTTGGATGTAAAACTAAAATAGGTAATCTACCACTTGAGCGTCGGCCAAGGAAAAATCCAGCTGTTCCGGTTGGAAGGTCTATTTAAACAATTATTCATATACTATTTTTAATGACATTGGTTGTGCGTGCTGCGTATTCATTCCCATAATAATAGTACTAATACAAATACACAAGAACATTTTTTTTTAAATAGAAAACTATTTAAAAAATTTGAAATATAAAAATGTAAACAATTTAATGTTTGAAAATGGAATTATGCATAGTTCTCCCCCAAGGCGACAATGAAGTTATATGCCATCTAATATCTAATGATAGCTTTAAGGGGCCGTCCATTAATTATGTCAACAAAATTGGGGGGGGGGGGCGGAGGGGGGTTTGGAAATGTTTGACAGTTGTTGACAAGGAGGAGGGAGGGGGGTTTAGATTAGTTGACGTAAACAATCATGTTTTTTCTATTAATTTGAAATTGAATGGTTATTACATTATTTAAGAAAAATTAAATTATGTCAACAAAATTGGGGGGGGGGGGCGGAGGGGGGTTTGGAAATGTTTGACAGTTGTTGACAGGGAGGAGGGACGGGGGTTTAGATTAGTTGACGTCAACAATCATGTTTTTTCTATTAAATTAAAATTGACTGGTTATTACATTATTTAAAAAAAATTAATGAGTGTAATTATTCTTTTAATTTTAAGATGTCATTGCAGTCAAGATAAATCATATTGTTAGAGTAGGAATACAATATTTTGAGAATTAGGGGAAAGTGAAGTGAGTAACAAAAATAAAATCGCTACTTGAATGGATTTGCAAAATCTGTAACGTCTATTTTGCATCACAAGTCATGGTGAAAAAGCATGTTCAGCAGCACTTGCTACTCAACAAAAAAGGATTCGACCAATGCGAGTAGCTGTCAGGGGACATAGAGAACTTATGGCAATTATTGCTCACACTGACAATGCTTCTATTTTAAATGCTGAATGGTTAGATGAGGATGATATTGACTTGTCTGGTATGTCGGCTCTGCAAATATGAAAATGATAAATCAGCTACTATATACTAGGCTTATCAGGGGCGAGGGGGGCAAAACCAAATCTTGGTCGGCTTGTTAAGTTGTTTATTACTTGAGATGCCACAGTACGTAGCATTTTAAATAAAAACTGCAAATTCGGGGGGGGGGGGGGGCAATCCCCCGCCCTACCAAAATGAGCCCCATTGTTAGGATAGAGCAACACCTGGCTACTCCATGGGAAGATGATAGCAGCTAGAAACTATATTATAATTGTCAGTTTTACTGACAATAATGATATTTATACTTCCATTTTTAATTTGGGACCGCCGTTAAGTGTGGGGCTTATACTTATTATTATAATAAGGAGCTGCCTATACTGATACTTTAAAGGATACAGAAAATAGGCAATATAAATTACTAAAAATAAAAGTACATGTATGTTCAGATTTTTAAACGTTTTTAAAAAAAATTTCATGTCCAGCATTTATCGCCACAAGATTTATATTTAGCATCGTCATATATCTTTTTAATAATTTCAGTGCTCTTTTTGATTATGATGATCGCATTACAAATAGCACAAAAGATAGACAAGGTCCATCTTTGTCTACTGTTTCCTTGGATCACATGGCAATCGATGAGCACACATTCCGTAGCATTTTGGATTTTATCTACACAGCAGAGGTCAAATTGCATCCAGGAAACATTCAGGATATGTTGCAGGTAGTTTCATAAAATACGTTAGAGCCAATACAAGGTTTTGTTAAATTTGATTGATTAGTACAATTCATAAGATAATGTTATAAATATAATGAATACTGTGCATACAAAACAAGTTGATCTAGGTAAATAATTTTTAAATTTGCAGGCTGCTGACCAACTACTAATGTCTGACCTAAAAGATATCTGTTGTGAATATTTAGATACTTGTATCAATGCACAAAACTGTATTGGCATTCTGGATTTCACATCTCAACTTTCCTGTTCATGGTGGCACTTAAAAGTGTCCCAATATCTTGATGCTCATTTCAAGTAAGTTTATCTGGAATAGAAACCTGTCTAACTTATGGCAATGCATTTTAATCATTTGATTGCTGGCATTAAGCTAGTATGGAGACCTGGATTGCTTAAGCACTACAGGTATTACTAATATCACAATTAAACATAATTTTTATTTTTTTCCCCCCCATTTTTTTAAAACAATTAACCATATTTGGATAGCCGCATGTATTTTCTTTTTACCTGATGACAGTGATTAATTATCGAAACTTGTAGCACAGAACTTCAACACTTGAAATAACCTGTATTCTGAATTTTGCCCATTAGTACTTGTCATTACTATGACTCACTGGATTTCTTTAGCTCACTATCCAAGTCCCACTTTGAAGTAGTTAAACCCACTCTCGCCCATATTCAGAGATTTGTCAGCTAATGTGTTATGCGGGATATTTCAATTCACATTTTTAAAATTATTTCGTTCATGCGTGCGAAGAAAGTAAAATTGTTCCTTTTGATGATCAACATGCAACATCATATATGGGTTGAAAAGCATTTAAGTTAGTCATTCATGTTTTCCAGAATAAATATCTAGGCAGGGTCCATAGAATCTTCGGGTTACAATCTCTAATCAATAATTGAGCTGCCAATCAAGAGTGACAACCACTGCAGTAACCCTGCAAAGATGTCCTTGAAAATGGCTTGGTCATGTTTGGAGAATGCCACCAAGGTCATTTCCCAGGACACCACTAAAATTGACAACGCAGGGAAAATGAAATTGTGGCTGACAGCTCCAATACAAGCACCCTGAAGTGGTGTTCCTGCATAATGATAGTGACCTTAACATTGTTGTCAGCTCAAAAGGACTGAATGAATTTATTTATGAAAGAATTTTCATATTGGGCACAAATAACTTTTTCAATGCAGATTATATTTTTCAACCTGATTCGTGCTATGATAATCGATTAACAAACTAATAGAATGGTTTAACTATAAAGCATGTTATTCAAGGTACGAGAAGATTATAAAATGCCAAAATAAGCCATTCTATTAGTTTGTTAATCGATTATCACAGCACGTGTCAGGTTGAAAAAAATAATCTTCATTAATTAACTTTTCAGCATTGTATTTAATCTTCGCGTACCTTGAATAACATGCTTTATAGTTTATTCTGCACTTGTTTGTCATTTTCAGTGAAGTCAGCCAATTTGATGAGTTCCTGCGGCTAGATGAAGAGAGAATCGCCAAGCTTCTATCAAGAACAACAATAGATGTAAAAAATGAAGATGATGTTTTGGACATAATCCTTCGTTGGTATCGATTTGAGCCTGATAATCGTTTCAGTTCAATGATGAATTTATTAGGGAAAGTTGTGTTTGCCCATCAACTTAGTGACAATGCACTGGCAAGATGTAATGAACTGAGGGAGCCAGCAGGACAAGAGCTTCTTCAACTTATTTTGGAACTAAAAAGAATACAGAAAGACAATCCCATCATACATAGAGGTTTTGTAAGAGTTATTGTGGCATGTGGAGGAGAAGGGGGTTGCATGTAAGTTTTTATATATTTTTTGAATTTATTTGAAATAAACTTTTTATTTTGTTTTGAAATTCCAGATAATAGAGCAAAACGTGTGAATATAGAACTTTAAAAAAGCGCTGTCTTTGGGCTTGCTCATTCCTGGCATGGATAGATTTCTTAATAAAATCACCTTGAAACAGCGCAAATTCTGTTGAGTGCGAGATGCGAAACGGCTCTGTGGGACAAAATTGTTTTTTACTCTACAAATTGCATATACCATGCAGTACTGGCACGTCATGAACAGGATGTGACATTGACTAATCAGACAGCAACCACACTGTGTAGGGCTGTGAAATAATTATAATAACACTTACCTGGGTACCTATTGACCCACGGAGCCTATACCATTGGTACCCGACAAAAGTGAAAAGATTTTTTGGAAATATAAGGAGTCATTAAGTTTACCTGCCATCACCATGGTTGAACTTTGAACTCGAAACTTTTTTAAGGAAAGAACAAAGATACCTAAGGATTTTTTTTAAAAGAAAGAGTGTCATTCTCTGGAGAGAAGCAATAAGTTTGAGCAGACGAATGTATGGTGGTTTAGTTACTAGGTGCCTTGAATGAGCATCAAACGTGACGTTCCACTGCCTGGAGCAGTTAGTAGCCAGGTTCTAGTGGGGAGTACGGAGGGGACAGTGGGTGCCAATGGCAGTAGAACATTAAAATAACAAAATTCTTATCAGAAACGTAATATTTTTTTAATGATTTTAAAAATAATTTATAAAAATCCTGTGCCCGAGAATTGGCCCTGGCATTTAGCCTTGGTCAGGCACCCCGGCACCGTTGTCAGGCACCCCGGCACGGTGACAGTCCCAGCTGTGTTTCTAAAATCATGATGAAATGGCGTGTTGTCAGAAGATTTGCTTTGAGGCTAAGGGCTGTGAATGAACCTTTAGTATTGTGTGTAAATTTTGCCATTGCATATCAAAATGGCAAAAATGCATATATATACATATTTTTGTTTGGATTCTCATAAAAGATTTCTAAACAAATTTTATGCCACATCTTATGGAAATCTTGCTTAGTTTCATGATTGTTCTGCAGACCTGTTTACTCTTACGATTTCGGCGTGCAATATACGATTTTGAGGCCTAAATATTATATACACCGTATGTTTTTCGTACTATTCAGATAATGTATTGAACGATTTTGTGAGGATATTGTACGATTTTAAGAGTTGAAGGGTAAACAGGTCTGGTTCTGTGGTTATTATATGTCATCATCAGTGGCTCTACAGCCCATGTATGGCCCTGGCCCTCTCCACCACATACTTCCAATTGGATAGATCCATGGCTTTCCGCCTCCATGCGCGAACCTCCAACTGGTGTAAGTCCTTCTCTACATCGTAGATCCATCTCAGTCTCTGTCAACGGTGAGCCGTCTGGCCCTAGGTTTCTGCCTGTATATTACTTTTGCTGCTCTACAATCTGGCATCCTTTCAATATATCCTGTCCATTGCAGTCTGGCTTTTGTTTATTGTTGTGACTAAAGGTGGGACTTTGTACATTTGGTATAGCTCTTGGTTTGTACATATTCTCCAAACATCATTGTCTATTAGGCCATATATTTTCCTGAGGATTTTCCTCTCCCGTGTATTGAGCAGGTTCTCTGATTTTCTGGTAAGGGACCAAGTCTCACTAGCATAAGTTACTACTGGTCTTATGTGGTGTATATTGCTTTCTTTGTTCCCCTTGAGAAGTTATTATACATGTACATACATGTATGCACTTTCTGTTTGTATTCTCACTTCTTCTTGATTTTATTGTGCATATGTCTTCATCTTTTATATCTGAATGAAACAGTGAATAGCACCATTTTTGCTTCGGTCCCAAGGGGTGTGCTAATGAAATGTTTTACTGTGTCTCAGTTATGAAAACAGATGATGGTAATTTATGTAAAACATGTTTATGTTTAAAAAAAGAATAGAAATATAAAATAAATTAAAACAAATGAAACAATTTTAAAAATCAATTACGGTTGATATCAGAATAAAAAGAAAGTGAACAAACCCCGTAAGAAATTTTTTTCCGTATTAAATCCTTTATATAATGTAATATCGAGCAATGGGAGGTGGGGCTAAAAATTTGACAAAACGTGTGTTTAAGTTATTTAAGTAGCACACTTTATAAGAATCCCAATCAGTCCCCATCCCCAGCGCGCTTGAAATCGCACATGTTTTTCAAGTCATATTGCTTTGTATACTAGCCCATAGCTTATATTTTAAAAAAACTGTTAAGTTGTTCACATAAGTTATCCTATAAATTTAACTGAAACAAAAACAAGTCAGCAGCAATTAGAAAAAACATATAGGATTCTTAGCAAAACCAGACTACTATTATCTTGATAAAATAAGAGCAATGTTTTATGTTTAAAGCCTCTTCCTTTTAAACGAAATTGAGAATTATTTTCATATCATTACGCCAATGCAAGACTAATTTTTTTTTTTCATTTATGTATTAATTCAAGAAATGTATTTTTTGTGATTAAGTTAAAATGATTTGTGTAGTAGTAGCCATCTAAAATAATGGAAGTTACTGAAAAGCCAAGATTATTTTTCTATAGGTCCATGTAATGCAGAAATAACAATTTAAAAAAAGCAGGTGTTTTATGTTTAATTTTTATTTCAGTGACAGAGATGATTGTGAAATTAAAGATTTTGTCAGGTGTGTGAAACCTATTAGAACAAAACATCCTGCAAGTTGGGTGGAGTTAGCTCCTATGTCATCTCCAAGGTGTGGCCATGGATTAGTAGAAGTTGGTAAGACACTTACTGATAAAAAGTTACATATTATTATGCTTGTAGACTAAAAGGAATAAATTCAGCATAAAGAACAAAATAGATAAACGAAATAAACATAAAATAATCAATTATGAATGCATTTGCTTTTAATCCTAGAAGTAATGCTTTCATTAATAACTAGGTCTACCCTTTTTGAATACACATTTTTCTCAGACTGTAAAAGCTTTCAATTGATTCGAATATATTTATATAGATTCAATGTATTACCAAATCATGTAGTGTAAAAAAATAATTTGATAAACCTTTAATAATTGGTATGTTTTTTTCATGAATAAAATTAGCAATTATTTAACATTTTACATGATCTGTCACTTTGTGTATTGTTAAACTGATGATGATAATAATAATAATACACCTTGTGGATTATAAATGATGTTCAATAATATAAGAAGGTTAAATTATTTCATTACTTCAGGTGGATATCTTTATGTGGCTGGAGGCAGGGACAGTAACTGCAGAATTTTGAACAGCTGTGAGAAATATGACCCTTTCAAGAATTGCTGGAGTCCTATTGCTCCCATGAACCATGCAAGAGTTGGCTTCGGACTAGTGGCCATTGAAAACATGATCTATGCCATCGGGGGTAGCAATGATATGACAGATCCACTTCTTTCAGTTGAAGTTTACGATGTTTTTACAGATAGATGGAAGCCACTTCCTGACATGATTATGAAAAGAGCCTGGGCCTGTTATGTTGCAGCGGGCTCCAAGATATACGTGCTTGGTGGTGGAATCATTGGTAAATTTTATGAATCAGTAGAAGTGTTTGACACAAGGGCTCTAACATGGTATGCTGTGTCACCTATGCGTGAAAGAAGATGTGATGCAAGAGCTGTGGCTGTTGGCAATGACATTTATGTATTTGGAGGTTTCCGTCGCATTGAATGTCCTAGTGCTGCCCATTCTGGTCACAATTTGAAGTTGTGTGGTACAGAGTTTTATTCAGAGAAGAACGATTACTGGATGCCCATACAGAACAGATCTGGTGGCAACACAATATGTGCTGTGGGGGAGACGACTAACATTAGTGGTGTGCTCTATGATGAAGATGATATACTAATCGTCGGGGAGCTGGATATGGGCAGTGGTGAGGTGCATACCGTCCGATCATTCAACAGACACACCAACACATGGGACTGTGTTATCATGAATAAGCCAAAGCTACAAACTCGCTACCAATGCTGCTTGTTGTCACTTCCCAAAAATTTGATGCACAATCTCTTGAGAGAACAAGGAAAACTGTATTATTCGGATATCGTGGGAGATACCAAACTTAATGGTTAACAAAGTCAAACTATACAAAATTTATGAAATGAAAATAAATTTTGATTGGCAAGGAGATGAGTAGATGAATACTAGTTTATTATTCTGACTACCTTAAGAAAATGTATTATGGAGGTCTGTATTCCATGATTTCTAAGAGATGAATGATATTAATGTTACTAGAACAGCAAAAATAAATTTGCTAATTTTTTTAGTTTTTACTGTAAGTATCCGTGGATATATTATAAGACTGACTAGTCAGACATATTGGTGAGATCAATGAGTCTCAAACTTTGTTGTGCTGCTGATCCAATCTGATTGTGCTATACTTTTAATTAAATTTTGTCATGGGTCAAGTCAGGTCTTTCATTAGTCTGTTTTGGGAACTTGTCACATATTTATTTGTGTGATTACACTGTAGGTTTTTTATCAGCTTAGAAGATATTTTTTTAGCACGACTATTTCATAAACATTTCCCCAAACCCTTAAGAAAATACAAATGTTCAAGGTATATTTTATAAAATGCTACATACTCACAATGTATTAAATTAATATTCAAAAGTTAATGATGAGAATATAACTAATAATAATTTTTAAGTCCATGATTAAAGCCTACTCTTTATTAAGTACAATATTGCACTGTTTTTCTCCAAATTTTAAAGAAGTGTTTTTTTTTATAGATAATTTTTTAAGAGCTTTGGATTTTTTTTAAAAGTCTTGTATCTTTTAATTGCATTTCTCATTGTACCTTTATGATGCCTGATCTACCTATTTGTATTATGTTGATGATCTTAAAAATAAAAATGGGTCTGCACTGTGTAATCATACTTTGAAGTTGCTGTTAATTGCAATATCATCAATGTATGTGAAACAATAATTTTCTCATAATTGTTTTGTTTTTAGAGCGAGCAAAGTTTCAATATTACAACAAAATTAATAGGGAAATGAATCTTAAAATGAGGAATGTCATTAATCCTCTTGAGACGGCCAAGTGTGTTAAGGCTGATCCATCGGCCGGATAATAAAACCCTCGAGATTGGCTGGCTGATCTTTGTACAAATTTTCAGATTGTTTCTCGCATATCTTGCTCATCTGGCCATTTAGCGGCTTCCATTGATGGTTTACGGTGTTCTGTCATGATATATCAATTTTTGTTTGTACCTAATGACCCCAATAAATGACCTTGAAATATGCAAAAGACATACGTAGCCAGGGGGGGGGGGGCATTTTATGCCTGTCTTCATATTGAATCTCATTTAAAATGTTGGGACTTATTAAGGCCTCAAAGGACTTATTTAGGGTTCAACTGTCATAAAATTATTCAAAATTCTGCTAGTAAGACATGTTTCTTCAAAATGTAAACAACAATTGCATGCAAAAATTATGTAAATCAGGATATCTCATTTGCATAAATGTGGAGATTTCATTTTAATTAGTAAAGATCAAATTCGTTCATTCAATGCCCTACATACATGTACTGTAGTTTTATATTTTTAAAGTCATTAGATTATTTTTTTTTTTTAAGTTTAGAAATAAGTGCAGGGCTTGTGAAAAGGGCTCCGTCTTTTTGGCACAAACAAGTCCAAAAAGGCTCAGACAGTGCAAAAAGGCTCAGTCTCAATAAGGTTGAATAAATTTCAAATCTTTTGTATAGAGCAGGCCTGCACAACTCAAAATGTAAGCCGTAATACGTTATGAAAAACTTGTGCGGGTCAAAAAAGGGCCGGAAGATGATAGGACAGGGAGAAAGCTATTAAGAAAATAATAATAATAAAGAATATTTCGTTACTTCGCGGGCCGCCAAGTGGGTGCTGACGGTCCACATGCGGCCCATATGTTGTGCAGGCCTGGTATAAAGCAATAAATCTAAATTAAGTATTGGCTTTTAATAAACTCAAATTACACATGTACCTTTTTCTTAATAGTTTACATGTTTTTAATAATTGTAAAGCGCTTAAAGCTTTAAGGTAAGTGCTATATAAAAATGCCTAAATAAATAAATTGCATTATCTTCAATTAGAAGGTTGAAACTGCTCCCTTGCATCATTCTTAAATTGATAAAAATTGAGTAGGGAATTTAGTAGTAGAGCCAGGAAGTTGCTAGTAGTGGAGCCAGGAAGTTGTTAGTAGTAGAGCCAGGAATTTAGCAGTAGAGTCAGGAGGAAGTTGTTAGTAGTGGAACCAGGAATTTGTTAGTAGTAGAGCCAGGATCAGGAAGTTGTTAGTTGTAGAGCCTGGAAGTTGTTAGTAGTAGAGTCAGGAAGTCGGCAGTAGAGCCTGGAAGTTGTTAGTAGTAGAGCCTGGAAGTTGTTAGTAGTAGAGTCAGGAAGTCGGCAGTAGAGCCTGGAAGTTGCTAGTAGTAGAGCCAGGAAGTTGTTAGTAGTAGAGCCAGGAATTTAGCAGTAGAGTCAGGAAGTCAGCAGTAGAGCCAGGAAGTTGTTAATAGTAGAGCCAGGAATTTAGCAGGAGAGTCAGGAAGTCAGCAGTAGAGCCAGGAAGTCGGCAGTAGAGTCGGGAATTCAGTAGTAGAGCCACATCATTTGTTTAAGTTTAATGTTCTCCATTTATTTCAAGTGACATACACAGTAAATTTCTTTTAAATTTAAAACCAACATCTTTAGTAAGCTAAATCAAGATTGTTTAATATTAATTTAATTTTTGGATACCAACAATTTTTCTTTAAAATTAAGACCACTATATTTAAAATTATTGATTTTTAAAAAAGCACATGCTCAAACAGTTTTATTGAGTGGGACTTCCTGTGATTAATATACATTAATACATTTGTTTAAATCTGAGGTTTAGATGACTGGCTATTAATGTTGCATTATTGATATTAAAAGAAAAAGACCCTGTTTGTCAATCAGAACAACTTGAGGATTGAAAGTATATTCTACCTAATTAAAAGGCATTTCCAACAAATTATGACTGTAGGAATTCCCAAATATTATTTTTGTTCCCCTTATGTAATTTTCAGCTCTAATTGATATTGTTTCACATTTCACTTCAGATATTGGAGCAAATGAACAAGCATTTATAAGATGTACATAATGAATTCATTTCATAAATGGCTTAAGTATTTAAAAAAAAATATTTATGCAAGTCTTGTGTAATATTTTCATAGTACAGATGGAATACCAGAATCAGATTTCTTTAAAATTAAATGTAGAATGGTTTCTTCATTAGGTATGCACAACTGTTTTGTTCAAGATCACATTCTTTTCATAGTGAACACAATTTGCTGAAAATAGAATTGGGTCTTTCTTAGCATTTCAGATTTTTAAGTGGTGTTTTTTTTAACTTGTGGGCTTGAAATTTCTGTATATTTAAGATATGAATAAGCAGTGCTATTTTGTGTAGATAAGTCATCTCCTAAAATAGATGTACATGGCACATTAAAAGTCTTAACATTAAATTCATCTTTAATTGTTTTTACTTTTAGGTTTTTGTGGAATGAATGACTTAATCCAGTGGTTCTCAACCTTTCTAATGCCGCGACCCTTTAATACAGTTCCTCATGTTGTGGCGATCCCCCCCCAACCACAAAATTATTTTTGTTGATACTTTATAATTGTAGTGTATATGTGTTTTCAGATGGTCTTAGGCGACCCCTGGAAAAGGGTCGTGACCCACAGGTTGAGAACAGCTGACTTAAACAAAGAGCTATGTAAAATACTCAAAGCATCAGCTGCAAAAAATTATCTTTCAACTACATCCATTATAAATATTCTAGATCACTGACTCTGAGACAACATGAACAGCATTTGACTCTTTAAAATCAAAAGGGCCATGTGAGTAAACTGTAATGACCTGCTCATTCAGGAAACTGCTCATAATTAAGTTATTCAAAACATTTATTAAAAAACCTACCCGAGAAACTGACATCCCAAGTAAGACTGTTCGCAGATGACACGGCGGTGTAAAGGACGATCACCAACAGAATGGACCAGCTACAACAGGATCTCAGACGGTTAGCCGAGTGGGAGATGAGCTGGGACATGGAGTTTCAAAAAGCCTTTGACCGGCTGCTTTTAGATTATGCATCTTCAGTGTGGAACCCATTTACCCAGAAGAGCATCGACAGGTTCGAGGCGGTCCAGCACGCTTTGTCCTGAACTGCTATAGGAACACCTCTAGTGTTGGCAGCATGCTGGAAACACTGGGCTGGTCACGGTTGGAGGAATGATGACAACTATCCAGGCTCTCCATGATGTACAGGATAAATAATGGGCTGGTCCACTGCTCACTCAGCATTAACCAGAAACTAGTCCCTCTCCCTCATAGACAGCGACGAGGCCATGACAGGCAGTTCCGGACTGGAACAAGCTTCCAAAAGAAACAGTTGAAGCGACAACACTCGACACATTTGCGTCTATTGCCTGAGGCTTCCAGTGCAAGATACAATCACTAAGTAGCCCTTGCAACCAGTGAAATATCCTCATCAACACCAGGCACAGAAAGCAAATCCCCTCTACATGCATAGGAGCCATGACATTGGGCCCTTAATATAAAGAAGGTATGCTTTTAATTTTTAAAATAGTTTTTTTTTTTAATTTTCAACTTTGAGTACATGGCAGATTTGATAATAATTCATTCTTCTACCGGTACTTTTTTAAATTGATATTTTAGCAGACAGAAAGTGATATCAGTATCTTTCAACCTTTTACTAACTACATACAAGACAGTTATGCTGGCAGAGCTTCTTTTTGACATGAGAGGTTTCCTCAAAGCAGTTTAAATTTTTTTTTTTTAAAGTCTAACTTGCTATATGTTTACATCCCTAACAATATTACATTTACAAAAAATTCAATTCACTTAAAAGTCTTTAAAATAACAAAAGAACAACTAAGTTAATGTTAAAGGAACTTTATTATTAAGATTCATTTTTTAATTAAGGTAGATAAGACAAAAGCTAACATTTCTAGCTGTTATAAATCCATGCTTCCTGTCATTTCACAAACTTTTCAGAGTTACACATTGTAATGGGAACTTTACAAACAATTGTTCACCTTCCATTGCATATACATGTTCATGCTAGGTCAACTTAGGCTACTAGTTAGGGAAAAATTGGAGACAAATAGGATGTGTCATTCACCATAAAATAGACAAAAGTCAATTCAATAAAGATGTATTAATATTTATTGATATTATTCTTATCAATGACATCAAATTCTTTCATGATTGAATTCTTTGGAATCTAATTTTTTCTTTAAATTTAAATTAGATCAAAATTTAACATTTTAAAGTAAGACTTTTGTTAATTCACAAAATCTTTTCCCATTAAGTATTTAAAACCATAAGATGTAAAAATCCTACTAATAGCTATTAATTTTAGATAAATTATGCAGCTTTTCATAATACGCTGAACAGCATTATAAATTGGCAGAAGGACTATTATGATATGGTCAAAATATTGTTGGTTGAACAAGTAGGATACATGCAATATCAGTTATCTTATACTCTCATAATTGAACTTATTTTTCTCCCATTCTTTCTATGTACACATACAATATTTGTCTTCTCCTGACTCATGTTTTACAGCAATAAAACACATCCAACATGAAACCAAGCTAACAATATCTTGGTAGGATTTTTAAAACAATAATAATCAAATTGAACACAAGAAACTCAAATAAGGAAGTACATGTACAATTAAAAGAAAATGATTTATTTCGCATACCTTGGTTTTATGAATGAATACACATCATATTTACAATATCTTTTAACTTCACATGATTTCAATAGTGGGAGAGGAAGTAAAGTTGGGGCAGATAACCCGACATTAAGCTTGTGTATTCCTGGAATTAAGCAATCAAGAATTTTATCACTAACAAAAGTTAACATTCTATTAGTCATGATGCCATCATCCATGAAGCTACTAATAAAAATAAAAACTCAATTAAAAATTTCCCTTAACAGCAAATAATGAGAGGAAAAAATGCTGAATTAAAAACAAATCCCCATTGAAAGCAAGAATCACAACATCTGATCTAACATACATTAATATTATGAGAACAATCACAGCAACAGTAATATACCAAAGATCTGTAATATTACATATCTACACTGGATATATTATATTATCATTCTGCTATGTACATGTTATGTTTAAAACATAGGCTTGCTCTATTCTTTAAAACATGAATAATACCAATTATTAATTTGTTAGTGAGGAGTTGACATTATGTAATGACAATGTAATTGATAGTTTTGTACAGAATCAATATGCATATTAAACATTTCATATAAACAAAAATATCTCCATTAAATAAGTCATCTCAAAGATTTTCAAAATAATGATGGCACTACATAGCCCAGCAACACTTTATCTCTGGGTAAAATGCTCTTGTGAAAAGTCATTGTTACATATAACCCAAAGACAACTTGTCACTTTAGCTTCATTGAATATCTGCATAAAGAAGAGCACAATAATAAAATGCTAATCTCTTTTTTTTTTATTTTACCAGTCATGAAGTAGAGCAAATATTTCAGATTCTACTAAAATCTATTAATATATTTTAGAGAACAAAGCTATATTCAATAGTTCTTTGATAGTTATTTAAAAAAAAGATGTGACCAAAGTAAAACATATAATTATGACAAATCTATTCAAATACACTCTAAATTGCCATAAAAAAAAACAACCATCAGTTCTATGCATCCTTTAACTAAACCTTAACAAGGGTCTACATTTTTACCTGAATAATGCTTGTAACATAGAAACTAAAATTTCATAATGTGATCAACTGGACAGAATGTAATGTCTGCTAAGAATGCACCAATTTTGCATTCATTAATACATTTATAGTACTTTATTACAATCATCAAAAAATGGAATCACAGAAAGGCTATCTTCCAAACGTCAGAATTAATGGACAGCAGAATCTAGGAATACAATTATTCATACTGATTCTATGATAATGTCCAATTTTGTCAGAATTTGTGGAACCTTACAAAATCACAATCAGATGATATAATTGGCACTTCTTTCTGCCTCTAGGCCCAAATTAGAAACAAAGATAGGAGACTTAAAAAGTTACATCATGAGACTGGCACCATTGTATCACTTATTTGCTGATGGTCCTAGAAATGCACTATAAGGGTGGACACCATTGTTTTAAAAATATTTTAGGGAGTTCCATTTATGCTGTTTTCTTTTTGGTTTTCATAGTTCATTACTCATCATCTGGATCATGCTCACGCAAAACAGCTATTGCATCTTTCACAGCATGGTAAATGATGTTCTTTACCTGAAACAAACATTTATAGGTGAACAAACATTTATAGGTGAACAAACATTTAAGAATAACTGTAAACATTTAATGAATTTTTTAAAACTGTTTAATGTGATGTTTTCACAAAAAGAATTTTTTTCAAATTGATGAAATGATCAACAGCATCACTATTGGGGTTCATATGATAAGTAATCAACACAGATGTAGTAAAAATAATAACTTGAAAATTAACTTTACCTGTAATTTATCTTCATGGTTAGAGTGGGTCTCAGACAGTTGACGAAACTCCTGTGTTAACCGGAAACAGTGGTTGAGGTGTTCAGGTGATACAAAGTCCTCAGCAACTTTAACACAACTATGTAAGTTTCTAACCTGTAAAGCCACACAAAAAATCTTAATTTTTCCATGGGTACAAAAATAATTACATTTAACTACTAAAATTTAGAACTTTTCCCTAAACTAAAATTTTATGTGGAACTTGAGGTAAAATATGGGCTAAAGAAAAAATAATGGCTGTAGTGTAATTTCCCAGGTGGGGAAATGATGTCCCGTTTGTGGTAGGAAAAAACGGTTTGGAATGTTTACAATTTATCTAAAGTAAGGAAGAGAAAACTGAATTAACTGCAGATCTCATAACTAATATAATATATAGAACATAATGGGAAAAACAACAGTTTAACAATTATATACCTGATGTGGTGCTCCTGCAGGAATGAAAATGGCATCACCTAGACACTGTACAATAGTGTAGCCCTGGACACCATACTCTTTTAACAACCTGTCACAGAGTTCCTTGTCCAAGTACCAACTCTGATCATGAATAGCGTCATGGTCTTTTTCAATGATTTCACCTCGTTCCTTTGCAACCTGTTAACAAAAAAGTTTAAGATAACTATTAAAATATCCTACCATAGGTTTACCCAGGACCATCTCATCAAAATGTTTTAATGTGATAATGCCATTTGCACTCTCATCAACAACCCCTTGCGTGAGAACTGTTTAAAATAATTTATTAAAGTAGCGAGTTGTCTTTTCATTGATGTTTTGCTTACGGTAAATGTAGGGGTAGTGGTGTGTGTTAGCGCAGATTTTACTTAATTCAACAGCAAATATTCAAAGTTAAACAAGTATTGTTGGGAAAAAAGAAAACCCTGGGTAG